GCGGGAGATGATTTTAATGTACGTGTGACATTAACCGCAATGTCTGAAAAATAGCTTTCGAAACTACTCGCAATTTCGTTATCTGATATTATGGGAGTATTACCTATAACTAGTTTTATAGGTTCCCTGAATATCTTGGTTCTTCCAGATATACGGGTAATGATGTCCCATGTGGCTTTATTCTATTGTTTGAATTTATTATGCTATTTCTTATATAAATAGATTTTGCCTGAATACAGACTTTTTAAATATTTTTGAAAATGTTTGTACCCGTTTAAGGAAGTTAGGATCGTGATTCCACTGCCTCATACTATATAATTCATACAATGAATCCCTACTTTTGTATATACCCACTGTTGCCCGGTCACTAAATTTTAATTTTTAATTCTTAACAATTGTGCGCGATTTAAAAGTATCATTATATTATAATATGATACCTATTATAATATTATATTATCATATGATGATAAGATATTTAGAGGATATCAAGTATCAAACATATGTTTCTTATTTCAGTTACTATAAACCTATAGTTTCAATGATAAAAATTCCTAAATAACCTACATGTATTGTAAGATAATAAAAATATTTTAAACAATATTAACTTCTCATTTATTCAATAAAAGAACAATTTTTTTTTTCTTATCGGTCACCACGCTCAAAAAGATTAACTTGAATTAATATCAAAGAAGAAAAATACTGCATAAATAAAAATAAATAAATAATTATAATTGCATATGCTTGATAAAAAATGCTATGCAATAGCTTTACCGCGGCAGTCCCCGAATGCCACAGGTTTTTTTTATTATTTTAATATTCCCAATGTCACTCTCACATTAAATACAAATCTAACGACACCTCTCAAGCTAAAATCCATCAAGCTATTCAGGTTGCAGAGCGTGCCAAACAATTATACATACATGCATACATACTTTCGAAACATAACCCTCCTTCTGGCGCAGTCGGGTAAAAAGGATTTTATTCCCACCATAATGGCGCATTTCCTTAGTGTTAAATTGCTTGACATTATCCTGAGTTGTAAGGATAGTTTACATTCCTGTGAAACAACTATCTGTGGGTCACACAAACAGCTGTCTCATGTAGGAATCAAAGCCTTTAATATGTTAATACTGAATATGTTGGCAACTGCACTATGGAGTCATCAACAAATTACTGAAAAAGTTATTAGCACTTCTCAAAAAGTTATTAACAGAATCAGTCCATCCCTTATATACAAGATCATCATTTGTATGTATTTATAAACATGTATTTATCTTCATTAGTCTCGCTAAAACTCGAGAATGGCTACACTGATTTCACTAATTTTGGTTTTAAAATATTTGTGGCAGTTCAGGAAAGGTTTAAACAATGAGAAATTATGGAAAAATTTCATGGAAAACGGAAATAACAATAATTTTATTCTCCCATACAAACTGTTCATACCTGACAAACAGTTTATGTGTTCAGATTCAAAAATTCCGTAGAAATAATTAATATGGCAAAACAATGTTTGACGGGTCAGCTAGTAAATATATAAGTTTATTACGTGTTAGTATTGTTTTTTATTATTCAAGTATAGTACTTATATATCTTTCAATTATCTATTTTTATTTTTCTTTAAAACTTATCTTTTATTATTTCTTTCGATTTGATATTATTATTATTTCACTACTTCAACTACTCTGAACATGCAAAATCCTTTTATAGCATTCAGTGCACCTTTGTAAAAAAAATTGTTTGTGGATATAAAAGTTAAGAAGTAAGCAAGTGATACATTTTAATTTTTAATTTCAAATATAAAAGAAATATGTTTTTCACCAAAAGATTATATAATTAATGTTTTATGAACACACATTCTTTGGGGCACAAGGCTCTGGACAAGTTTATATAAACTGTCTAATTGTGGCTGTTTTATGAGGTTGTCAAGCGAGCAGGTGATTCATTATTTTAGACGAATGCTGATGTCCATAGGCATCTACAACACAGCCAATGTCAGGCAGTTGCATTGACAACCTTTAGAAAACTTAACAGTCATTATTTCATTGAGCGAAGATGTGCCCACGGATCCTGAAGCATTGATGGATGTAGGTATGCATCAATATTACTCTTGTTATCTTTTCCATAACTGCTATTACTGTCACTCTGTAAAAAGCATAAGTACCGATGATAAAAAAACAATGTTATACCATTGTACAACACAGCACTAATTAATGTATGCTATGCATTGTCTAAACATAAAAGCAGCATTATATAGAATAAATACCCCAAAACTGTTCCGAGTAGAATTGTTGCCCCATCTGTTATTGTAATGTACTCGTCGCCTTTGGTAATCATTGTGATGTCGATTATGTTGGAAGTTGTTTTGGCTTTGATTTCTTCCATGCCAAGTATTATGGACAGGTGTGCTTTGATTTAGGGGAATGAAATCGTCAGACATTTCGTATTTGACACAATAATTAACTATTTGCGAATAAACATTAAAAAGACAACAAAATTCTGTCAATGTGAATGCTGAAAGTGTATCAACTATCAATCGTCTATTAATTATGCTGCTATCTAAGCGATTCTCGTTGTCATCAAACAAGTTGTCATATGCAGGCAAACAACAGACTTAGGCAACTGTCAACAAATGACAGCGCAGTGTCTCGTAAATCATGTAAAATGTCACATGGAACTCAACCCACTCATAAAAAACTTAAAACATAAAATCTTTCTTTATTCCTATGAAATTACGATAATTCTAAGATGAAACCTTGAAATTGAAACATTTCTTAGATTTAAAAGTTAACTACGTATTTACTGTTGATTGGTAATCTCAGATTATATATACTCTTTTGATATCAACTCTGACTTATTTGATGTATGTATTGTGTTTGAATTACCTATTTTAAATTTGGAATGTTAGCTTTATTTGTTCAGACTGAATTGTGTCATATTTTATGGATTCCGTTAAAATCATAGATAAGACATATATACTGGTTAAAATCGTTTGGAGAAGTAACATGTCTAGCTATATGACATAACTCTTGTATTTTACATAAATTTCATAATGATTACGTTTCGTCTAAATTAAGTTCAAAATATTAAAGTTGAAATAAATAGTTTTCTTATCAGTCCTTAAGTGTCTTTATGCATGAAAGTGATCCCATTAGCCACATCTGCCATTCAAGATTTATAACGCGTCGTAACTAGAATAAAAAACAACGTAGTAAAAGTAACAGCCTATACATGTCCCACTACTGGGCAAAGGCCTCCTCTATACAGAGGTTATCAGGGCATAGTCCACCACGCGGCCCCACTGCGGATTGGCGGACTATGTGAAGTCCGAAATATTTTTTTTGTTATTATTTCGAAAATATGCAGGTTTCCTCACGATGTTTTCCTTCACCGCGGAGCACGTGATAAGTCAGCACTTAACATTCATCATCAAAAGCTTCATTGGTGCCGGCACCGGGGATCGAACGCAGGTTGCTCGAGTATATATTGAATTAAAGGCAAGCACCCGGACACTGAGCTATCACGGCTCACGTACGTAACGTAGTAAAGTTTACGTCATTCATGCATAACGCTTACAAATTGCACTCCTTCCGATATTTAAATAGGGACGAGAATAGACTGCGTGGAGATACTTTTAGATATTTGGTGGTTCCCCTGGAATTCTTGGCAACCAGGAGTAGTGCTGCCGCTAAAAAAATATTAAGTTGAGTGACTGACTTTCTTTTTACACAGTACATGGTGAAATATTTTAAATTACGTAATGTATTATGGTAATACGGTTATATATGATATGGTAATAAGTTATTACGTCGCATCTACGATACGAACGTTGTTTACAGATCCACCTTTGATAAAACATATTGACCGAATTAATCAAGTATCAATCCCATACTTGCCTCCATAAAATGTTGGTAACGCTAGATGCGTATGTGCCCTTGTGGTAGGGCGGCCACACAGTGGTTTCTCTGTTGCAAAAATTGACAGGCTCGTCTAGGAAAGTACCACAACCTCACAGAAGACCAGTATGAAGTGAAAGTAGCGTTTCGTCTGGTGAGTGAGGTAGCCGGTGCCCACTTTTTAAAATGTTGGTAACGCTAGATGCGTTACCAACATTTTAAAAAGTCCCAAGCCCTCGGGTGTAGCAGATGTCCATGGGCGGCGGTATTCACTTAATATGAGGTGAACCACCTGCTCGCTTGGCAACATTTCACAATAAAAAACAAAAAACGTGTGCATTGTTCTTTCCTTACATAATTTGAACGAAACTTTAAACTTTCCAAAATTAATAATTTTCAAATCCCCATAACTGTTTTTGTAATTTAATATACGTAAGCAATCACTTGGCGTAGGTATATCTCGTGATCAAATTGAAATTTAAATCTAATTATCTCCTCTGGATATGTTCCACTATCGATCGCTGCCTATGTCGAGCCCTTTAATTGAGGAGCTCTTGGCTCATGGTCTTTTCTGTTTTCGTTAACAGGGGTCACAGAGATGCAGCTGAGCGTATCGTGTCGTCGTCTTGCACCACCTACGTCGTTCTCTTAAGTCCAAGGGTTGTTTTCCTTTTGCAACGCTTACAAAGTGATGGTTTAAACTCTAAACTCTAACGTTTCTAAATTTTTACTACTACTACTACTAAAAAAAAAGAACTGAACAAACTTTAATGAAACGTTAAAAATTGCATTACATACGCCGTAATATATACACTGTAATTTATTATTTAGTTATATAGTACACAAATTGCAATATATAATTTGGTAATTCGTTTTTATGTGGTGATTTATATTTTTCGTCTGCGGTATTTATTTCTTATCTGTTACCTAACATATCCTAAAATAAAATAATAGATACAGATTACAGACAGACAGATCACAGACCCGAGATCTGTTCTGGTTCAATATTGTGTTTATTGTTTTTGGGTGCATTTTCTTGTAGAATGATTACGGTGTAGTTATGCCTATAAATAGTATATATTTTATATTAAATAAATAATTGCAACAATGTGGATTGCTACAAAATCACCTAAACTGGGAGTCGGTAAGTTTGACATTTGATTTAATAAAAATTTATGTATCCTGATTACAATTACAGCGGAAATGTAAACATGCTATGAATTTTTAATAAATGATATTGAAAAATCTATCTCCCAGTTCATGACGACTTGCCTTCCTGTAATCACTGTAGTATAACATTCTAGTGAAGTTTATGAAATACACATACAAAGGAATTTAAGTAACATTACAGACTACAATAAGTAAGGAAGTTTTTGAATATATAATTATATATAGTAATTATATTGGAATTTATTTGAAAATCTCTAGCCTCAATTTAAAGAAAGAACTATATTTATTTATGAAATATATTAATAAATAAAATATAATCTGATTCCTTTTACCTTGAAAACACTGTCTCTTATAATCTACATCTTTTTTTTATACATTCTTTGTTAAAATTATTCCATTAACTGAATAAATACTTGCAATATTGAATAGTGAAATCAATTGAAATGTTTGATAACATATACTGTTGTTGTCTTTGTAAACTGATTTGAATTAATATTAATGTGACATAGCAGCTTTCCAATAATTGGTCTTTAACCTTTCTTTAGCTATTCATAGATCTTAAATTATGGCAGTGCACATTAAATTACAGTTTTAGTAGTATGATTAATTCTCTGTCTTTTATATAATTACCCAGATAAAAGTTACTATTTGTCACACAAAGTAACATTAGGAGATTTGAACCAACATTCAGAACCTAATAATTAAAATATATTATACTTTTTGTTATACTGAATTGAATGTACAAAATTAGGCATTATAATTTTCATCAAATAGATCATCCCCAAATTGAACTTCTAAATAAAATTTATTAAATTTTTTAGCATTGTTAAGTTCCTTGGCAATATTTTTAAATAAACCTTTTTTCTGGTCTGTTCAGCTGTCTACAACTGGAAGGGTGATGTTCGTTCAGGATTACCCTTGGAAATTGGTGAAACTGTACAAATTTTGGAAGAAAATGGAGGTAAATCTCTCTTTTTTTATATGAGTTCTCTGTAAATCATTGTATCCTATATTTACAACACTGTGATAATCATGTATATAAAACAATGTAACTGATCATAGTAGAACCAAGGACACCAACCAGTTTGTGAGAAATAATTATTTCTTTTCTGCAATACTGAGCGCTACTTCCGCAAGAAAGATCAGGGTGCTAGGGGCACCCAATTCCTGCCTCATCACTTTCAACACCAATGGCTTAAGTGTAACATTAAAAATTAGCAAGTCATAAATCTTATACAAGCGACCTGTATTTTATTGCTACATCCACTTCTCAATCTCTTCTAATTTTGTAAATTTGGTCTTGTGAGCCGGTGTCAGTGTTGCCATAACATTTTTTGATTGTATAAATTTGCTTTTTTCAAATAGTTCAGCTTATTTTGCCAGAGAATGTAAAAGACTGTGGTGAGTCTATAAAAAGTCTATAAGAAGGAAGTACTTAACAGACATATATTTTCGTATGTAACCAACAGTGGTAAATGTAATATACTTATTTTTGTTAAGTGGCTATTAAGCAAGTGGTTCACCTGATGTTGAGTGATAACCGCCACCCAGGCAAATCCACAGTATGTGTGTGAATGTATTCATTGCCAACATTTTGAAGAGCTTGACTTAGCTAGATCATCCACCAGACAAAGCATAAGTATGGTATTTCAACTTCATATCAGTCTTTTTTAGGGATGTGGTTTGAATGGTGAATTCATTGAAGACTTCCCATTCATGCAACAGCAGGAGTAACTATTGGACTCTACACATACTACATACTAAACAGTCAAATGTCTTTAGTTAACTTTTACCGGTGGTAGGGCCACGCAGTAGCCTCGGGTAAGTACCACGACCTCACAGAAGACCGGCGCAAAGTGGAAGTATAATGCTTTCGCGTTTCGTCTGGTGATTGAGGTAGCCGGAGCCCAATTTTCAAAAGGTTGTCAACGCATTTGCAAACCCTCGGGTGTAGCAGATGTCCACGGGCGGTGGTATTCACTTAACATCAGGTGAACCACCTGCTCGCTTGGCAACTTTTCACGTACAAAAAAAAATAACAAGACTCCACGGAATGTCACCTGTGTCTTCAGGCTGGTGCCGAGGGTTCAGCACAACGAACAGATCGGCGTGGGGAATATTCCCCGCGTGCGTCGTCTCGATTCGTCCGTGCACGGTCAAAGGATCCGGGGCCACGGCCATTGCCGAGTTGAAAGACGACCCCCTGGTGCGGGAGATCGCCTGCGTTCTTAGGGACTGGGCGCGGTTGTGGAAGAGGCTTTATGTGGTGCGTAGTAAAGTAAAACTAACAAATTTTACTGTGGCAGGGCCACACAACAGTATTCACTGTCGCACGAATGGGCAGGTCCGCCCGGGTAAGTACCACGGCCTCACAGAAGACCGGCGTAAAGTAGAAGTGTTTCACTTCTGCGTTTCGTCTGGTGAGGGAGGTAACCGGGGTCCACTTTAAAGGTGGCAACATATTTGCAATCCTTCGGGTGTTTCATATGTCCATGGGCGGCGCTTATCACTTAACATCAGGTGAACCGCCAGCTAGTTTGCAACTTTCTCAAATAAAAAAAATGTTCGGTAAAAATCTCATTTCACTCCAGATGCCGTGATATCAGCTTAGAAAATTATCTGTGAAGGATAATGGCGTCGTCTCATTGTTTGCGTTTGCTGCGTTCGTCATTTTAATGATTTGCTTAACGATGTAGTTCGAGTCTAGTGAGCGGCGTTTTCCCCTGCGATTGCGCCTAACCTTTTGTGTACTAAGACGACCAAGAAAACATTCCAACGGCCTTCTATAACTATTTATCGTGTAAAATCTAAAGTAATTCGTATTGACTTAAACAAGTTCTACTAACTTGGCGTTTCTTCTTTCGTAGACAAAAGAAAAAAAATCATTCTAATTATTTCACTATCAAAATTTGGCGTTCATCTTCCTTACATATATAATTCTACTGTGCGTGTGTATGTCACTGAACTCCTCCTAAACGGCTAGACCGATTTTATTGAATTTTTTTGTCTTCAGGTCGATTAGAGATTCACAATTTTTTTTTTTTTAATTTTTTCAAGCCCGGTCCGTTAGTATAACTATAAAAACTGACGGTCGACATCTAGCGACCTTATGTTACATCAGCTCTAAAGTAGTGTTTAATTAATTTCTTTGCTAACATGAATCTTATTAATGACTCCTTACGGTTGAAGTCTCGCAAATTACTAAATTTAAGGCTTATTAAAATGTAACTGGTGTCTCTGAGTGTGAGTGACGAGCTGCAGTCGATGCTTCCACCGCTATCGTAATATTGGTCCGGTCAAAGTCCCCGTTCCGGAAGCGCTTAAACGCGCAGGACATATTTATTGTTATATTGCGTAATTGTAAGCGCAAATACGGAGTCGCCCTCCCGTCGATGACCTTTATGGAGAATTGTCGTTTTATTCATTGGAAAAAAATCATTTATGCATAAGAATATGGCGCCGTATTTGTTGCATTGTCGTAACTCGGCAGCTCGCTTTACTGCTTTACACCCGCGTATATTCAGTAAAAAACTAGTGCATTTTATCATAATACATTTATAGTCCGATTTATTCGTTTCTTTTTAGCCATTTAGCGTAAAAGACAAACAAAACACTTAAAAAGTGAAAATCATAATTTATTAAAACGTTTACTTACATTCTGTTATCTTATGACAATTAAAGGTTTGAGATTATTTTCTTAATTTTTCCGCTACCGTTAAGCACTTAATGGTTTCATAGGTTATAAACACCTACTTATTTCGTACTGAATAAAAATTTTTCAAACAATAGCTGTTGTTTGAAAATTTTTTATTTTCATACAATTAAAAAAAGTAGCACAAACTAAAATAAGGCTACCAGTATCCATTTGCAATATATGTATCTATAATTATTTCTGGTTCAGTTTTTAATTCCATCCTGAATAGAACGCCATCCGAATATTTAACAGTGCCTATCATAATATCTTGTATCTTGTATCTTGTATCTTGTATTAACTGATGTTTTTGCTTTCAGTCCCGAGACTATTAAAGCTTCATCTGACGCAGAACCGATGGGCTAGCCAGAACCCACAGGTTTGGGCCCTCCGCTGTGGGTAGGGCCACGCATGTGCTCATGCGTGCGTTTAACTATGGTGTGTCATCTAAGGGCCATCGAGGTCGTGGTTCGGACCGAAACCGGCCGTCGACTGTGCAATTAGCTAATCGGTGGCTGGGGGCGGTGAGAACCGCCCCGGAACGCGGGTGTACCTTGTGTACGCGTTGTGTTGGTCTCGCCGTGCTCGGAGGCGAGGGCGAACTAGTGTGTTTGTTGTTGCACTAACTGTGGGGGTAGTGTTGTCCGGCGGGACCCCCGGCAGTGGGTCCGGCGTGTCTAAGTCCCCTTCCTCGACCGGGTCGATTAGGACGTTTCGCGGGCGACGCTTGTTGACGTTCGCGTTTTTGTCGGGTTGGTAATTTGCTGCGCTTACCACCAGAGGGTTGGGATGATGTTCGGCTCTATCGAAGAACCGTTTGGTCAGGTCTTTAAAATATTCGCGAATCGTCGGGAGTCTGCAATCGCTGTGCAGGTCGACGTTGCGTTGATACCACTGCGCACCGGTTGCGCGGCGGATGAACTTATTTTGTACTATTTGCAACTTGTACAAGCGAGTAGGGTGCGTGTGGGCGAAGGTCATGCATGCGTAAGACATAATAGGTCGTACGCAGGTCTTATATAATAATAATTTGTGCCTTAAGGGCATTTTACTTTTAGCGTTAGTTAAGTTGTGTAGCCGGCCGGAGACGAACGCGGCTCTATTGCGAACGTTATTAATGAGCGTAGTAAATGACATACGCGAGTCGAAAGTGACTCCTAAGTATTTGACCTTTTTCTCCCAGGGGAGCGGTTGGCCATAAAGGGATATTTGCCCCAACTTTCTGCATTGACGAGGGCCATTATAAAGATGTGAGGGGTAAGTACTTCGTGTGAAGTGAATCGCCACACTCTTTTCGGGATTTATTTCTATTCTCCATTTGCGGAACCAATCGCCGAGGCGGTCGGCAGCGCTTTGGAGTCGAGTGGTTAGTTGTCTAAGGTTGCGGTCTGAATAAAAGAGCGCCGTGTCATCCGCGAAAAGCGCGAGATTGACGTGGGGGTCTTTAGGTATATCGCTCGTGTAGAGCGTAAAGAGCAAAGGTGAGAGGCAGGAGCCTTGTGGTACGCCGGCGGTGAGGCGGCGGCTTGTGGAGAGGGTACTTTCAACTCGATATCGAAAAGAGCGGTTCGACAGGAAGGCCTGGATGGTGTGTACGAGCCTATCTGGCACTTTGAGTGTGTACAGCTTGTAAAGCAAGCCGTTGTGCCAGATCTTGTCGAATGCTTTTGCGACATCGAAGAAAAGAGCCCCTGTACTAATATGTTTAGGGTGATTTAGGCCTTTTAGGATATGTTCCGTTAGGCGGAATAGTTGATCGGGACAGGAATGTCTAGCTCGAAAGCCGAATTGTTCCGCCGGCAGAAGGCCGTTGGAAAACACGTGCTCATTGAGCCTGTTTAATAAAAGCCGCTCGTAGAGCTTCCCCAGGCAACTGAGGAGGCTGATGGGACGATAACTAGAGGGCTGGTTGGCTGGTTTATTAGGCTTGCGAATGCCGATAACCCTGGCTTCTTTCCAGTCGTCCGGAAAGGAGCAACTGGAGAGTAAAGTATTGTAAATGGTCGCCAGTAAACAGATAAGTGGCCCAGGGAGAGCTTTAAGAATTTTGTTACTAATATTATCTGGGCCCGGGGCGGATTTGGGTTTTAAGTTTTTAATTATATCTTGAACCTCTTCGGGGGTCACTGAATTCAAAGGATCGCCTTCCGGTGGAAGCGCAGCCTAATCTCGATTACGCGGTCCACCTCTGTTAGGTGGGCTGTATCGATGTGTTCGCGCGATGGCGTACATTGCTGCTCTAGGTTGTCCGCAAGGCATTCGGCTTTTTCGGAGTCATCTAGGGCTACTGAAGCGCTATTAGGTCTAACTAACGGCGGTAGAGATTCGCGGGGGTCTGCTTTCAGACTGCGGACCAACCGCCAGTAGGCGGTGTGCGATGGCTCGATGTCCTCTAGGAGAGTGTCCCACGTTGTATGTCGGTGTTCCGATACACGATCTTTGACTTCTAGCTGAAGGCGTCGAAGTAGGGTTCGGTTCGATTCCGATCGGTATCGGTCGAAAGCGCGTTTGGCTGCATTTTTCTGCCTAATTAGGAGTCGCAGGTCGGGCGGAAAGTTAAACCGTCGATCGCCCGACAGTTTAACCGTCCGTTCCGAGTCTGCGACTGTGGAAGTGATGGTTTCTCGGAGACTTGCTATCGCTCGATTTGCGTCATCGAACGTAGCTATCGTCTCGGGTAGGTCGACTAAGTCCTGGGGGGTCCAAGGCCTTGAGTTTGACCTCAAGACGATGCCAGTCCACTACGGATTTGGTCGGAGGGACCGCGCCGGCGTTCTGGCCCAGTTTACACAGGACGGGCCTGTGATCTGAGTCTAGTTCATGGATTGTCTCTATCGACTCGATGTCGAGCGAGACCTCCTTGAGTAACATGATATCTAGGATACTCGGTGTCGCGTGTTGGTAGTTGTCCACCGTAGGATACCTAGTGGGAGTCGCAGGAGCAATTATGCTAAAGTTTAAATTATCGGATAAGCTAAAGAGATGCTTTCCGTTGTTATTTGGGAATCATAATATCATTTAGTTTATTGCAATTGACGGCGAGAAACACATAGGGACTAAGCGGAAATCCCGATGAAACAATACGTTGGGTCGTTTAGTTGTTGAATTAAGTGTGCGGAATTCACTTCGGCGAGTGGCACCGTCAAATTTTTTTGATTACACGTTTAGGGTATGAGAGATTTCGTTAACTGTCCATGTCATTGGCTCGAGAAGTAGATCGCTTTTCTTGGGAAATATTAGTAGTACACATTTTTTTGTGTAAGATTACGGCAAGCTAGGGATGGCTAGCTGGCTAGGCGAGCTGTCGGTTCACCTGATGTTCAAAATTCAAAATTCCAAATATCTTTATGCAAATAGACACTTGCGCATTCTTATGAAACGTCGAATTTTACATAAATAATTGATACATAAGTTCGTAAGTCAGTTGCCACCGGTTCGGAAGGCAGTATCTGTTGCGAAGAGACCGGCAAGAAACTCAAAAGTTGCTCTTTTTTTTTAAAGATCAGATTACAATATAACATATGTATAATGATGTTCTTATTTGAGCCTAGGCGAGTATCAACAGTTCCACACATTGGCGTTGTCGAGATATTCCGCAATGGTATAATATGCTGTAGCGATAAGTTTACTTTTAATTCTTCGGTTAAATTGGTCAAATTGCATACTTAATATCGACTGTGTGACAATTTTAATATATATGCGCACACTTTGCCCTATGAACGACCTATACTTTGACAATGATGTGCTTAGTTTTTCCTTATTTGTTGAATTTATTTTATGTCTGTCACTATTCTTTAGATAATACAAGAGTGATTACCGCCCCCTGTGGATATTTGCAACACTACGTTGCAGATCACAGATGCGTTGTCACCTTTTAATATACGGCGTCGGTTACATCACCCACCAGACGAAACGCTGAAGTATAGCACTTCCACTTCACGCCGGTCTGTGGGGCCGTGGCACTGCCGTGGACGGCCCTGCCCGTTCCTATAGGCGAATGGGCAGCGAACACTGTTGTCTGGTCCTACCACAGCTGGACCCCACAGTTACGTAAATCTGTAGCACTGCGAATTATTGCACAAAGTCACCCGACACAGTCAACTCCGACGTCTTTCAGCGACAACCACTCAAAAAAAAAAAGCATACAGGTTGCATGCTTGAATCTGGTCTTAGGATCTTAACAAGCTATGTGTCCGATACAGTCCTTAAGACAACACGAAAACAACGTATTGTAAAGACAAAGAATACGACAATTCTGAGAATTTGGCTTGGTGTCCCCACTAGGATTTTTAACATTTTTTTAAAAGCACTCAATATAATGGATGTCGAAATTTAAAATTAGAAACAATGTTGTGGAAAGCTAACATCAATCTATCAATTAAGTATGTTATTATAAGAAATCTTACGTGTCCAGTAAACGTCATATATTAACGTTTGATATAATAAAGCTAAAATCTTCAGCCGTTATTGATTTAGTAACATTTCTATTGGTTGTTTACATTTACTGCACGTGCGAACTTATCACAATTATCGCTTATATAGGTTCTAGCTTGCAATGAAGAAATCAATAAAGAAATGGTTAACATCTCATTGTGGCCATACCTATAATTATGAGCGTAAACAAAGGCCGACATTAAATTCAGAATTTTATTTCTCTTTTACCTCTTCACTTTTCACTGTATAGTAAGTCTTCAGATCCAGTGGTTGAGTTAATAGTAAAGGAAATGGCTAAAATGTTTGAATAAATCTTTTTGAATCAAATTCTTATTTATATATATTATTTAGAAAGTTGTGTTTAATTTTATTGTCATTATTTAAGACTTCGTCGCATATAGGGCTGTCTCTTTTTATCACTAGCCATAAAACACCACTATGTTTTCATGACGAAATTTTTACGAGATCCAGGGTTGGCATCTCTTCCGGCACTCCGTGGGAGTTTAGTGCATCCGATCCCTAAAAAAGTGAACGCTCAGATAAATACCACCAGCTTTTTTTTCTTTTTAATTATTATTAATTGACAATTCTTTATTTACCTTGAGGAACATTTGATCTGTGATCGTCGATTATCGTTGGGCTTATTTCTTGGGGCCGCCAAACTATAGTTCAAACTTCTACGACATGTTTACACGTGTACATCCAAACAACCACTGTGATCTAGAAGAACTATTGTAATCTTCCCCTAACGAACATTGCCCCTTATTGTAGGATTATCCTGTGTTCTAAGGATGTTTTACATACATGAATTTCACGTGGATCTTGATCCGAAACAATAATCATCTGTGGGTCATACTAATAGTTGTCTCGTCGACAATACTTTGCCACTCAGGCATAAAAATTTTAAAGGACTTAGTTTTTAGTTCTAGAATTTATTTATTTTCATTATGTCTGATGATATTCAGTAACAGAAGTTATCTTTGCTTCAAAAACCTTATATTTTACGTTCATGTCTATAATTATGTCACAGTGTCAATAACTATGACAAGGAAGGAGATGAGAATAGGTGACATCCACAAACAATTAAGTGTAAATAATTTCAAACATTTTGTAAAAGCCACCTTAATGGAAAGGGCTTATTATAATGTCGAGGAATACATTGAGGACAAAGATGTGTGGAAATGACTCTTGCTCTGCACTTGCAAGTCCCCTGGCTCCTGCTAAATTATACTAAAGTAATTTTGTGTATATACTTAAATTATTTAAAAAAGAAAAGAAAAAAATATATATGCATATATGACCGCAGAGTTTCTTGCTGGTTCTTCTCTTGCAGGTCTAGTTTAGTGAACCGGTGGTAGTTTTTGACGTTCAATAAGAGCTTAAAATAAGCCTATGTTGAATAAAGAAATTTTTACTTTGAAAAAAAGTGCGTCTTCCATAATTTATAGTATTAAATTTTTTTATAATTAATTATGGCAGTTGCATACACGCACTTACGAACAAATATGAACTCAAACACAACATATTTTATTCAATTAATATTTTTCTTGGTTAAACGTAAACTGCAGCTGTCAGTGATTCTACACCACAGTCAAAAATCAAGTTTCAATGGATAAGCGCTAGTCAAAAATTTGAATTGAATGCACGTCGATTCGCATGTTCGTTTATATTCAATAATCATTGATGCATTAAAAAAATTAAACAACAAAAAGATTAAAAAAACATTATGACGATAATGTAATGTCAGCCTATAGTCGCCGTTCAAACTACATATGAATTTTACGCCCGGTTTCTGAAACATTGATCATCGTAGAAGTTAACTAATCAGCTGTCACATGACCTTTCAAATGTCATTTGAGTTGCCAAAAGAATGGTTACACTATTCGAATTGATCATTCTGATCATTAAGAAGATCATTCTGATCAATTCAGAGATTTTTTTAGGCATTGAATAATTAATTATTTATTTCATAAGATAATCAAGTGCGTAGTTATACACAACTTTATGTAAATTGTAATGTAAATTTATTTAAATCAGTGAAAACATTTATTGTACTTACTAAGATTCTTTATCTAATGATAACAATAAAAAATTAATAATAACAATTCAAAACATGAAACGATGAAGCTATCATCTGTATTGCTGACGAATCAATTTAAACTAAGTAGTTCTTGTAATATATGTTACAGAACAGTTATAATGTATTTTTGCCAACAAAATGTGGATAATGAAGTTTTACTGTAATTTAAAACATAAAAATAGGCTGGATTTTAGTTAATCACTTTCTTTCCGATTGTAATAACTATGATATAATCTTATACTTTCAATATGCCCTTAGATAAAAGACTGCATCTGCAATAATACGACCCACATCTATTATATGAATTTTTTACTTCGGCGTCGGGGATTCGGGTTTGACTCCCATACGGGACAAGTATATGCGTGAGCCATAGATGAATTGGTACGGTTCATGGTGTTTATTTCCAACAAGTGTTGACGTCAGGCAGGCGACTGATAGTAAAAAACGTAGTTAATACCCAACCTATAAATAGATGGGATGAGGCCAGAAGAAATAAGTTTAGCAGGATTTTTTTTTTCAACTTTATGGAGTTAATCGATATACATAGAAAGTGACATATAATTATGCTTCGCTTAATATTTGGAATATTCGCATATATCTGTCTGCATCATTTTATTCTGTTTCTCTTCAATAGTCGCTTAAAAAAAGTATCAATTAAACAAAACGCGTCTTACAAGATACTATGTTCTGTTCTGTTATAAGGTTCAGCATTGTCTAGTAGTAAATATTTATTATACTCTTTCGCAATGTGACAAAATACACTCTGTGTGAACATTACATTGCTTTGCCAAGTGAATTGTATTACGTTCATTTGTATTGGTTAATGTTTGCTAAAGATAAAGGACTACTTAACTAATCTCGATTCTTCACTTTAAAACAGTTTAACTTAAATACCTTTTTTCATATTACTAATGATTACACAAAAAGATATGTACTATTGTGTATAGTTTAGTCAAGTGCATATACTATTTTTAGAAGTGACGTCATCTTGACTTTTTAGATTAACTTACATGTAGTGGTGTTTAGTTGTTTCTGATCTTTATTTATGCCTCGATTTAATTAAAAACTCATATATATATATATATTTATTTCTTATGGTCATCGCAAGTGACTGTTGCTAAGTAATGTATGTAATATTCGATTTTATTGCGTTTTGAATTTTATCGCAATATCTTACTCAATATTTGTCTTTCATAAAGCCTTCTTTTAGGTAAAAGTAATGTTAAAATCTGCATACTATTGTATTTAATATTGCACTTATAAATTTAATAATAAGCTGTGTTATTTACCGTCTTTCGCTATGTCAGCTCTGATCCCATCGATTTTACGCAATCGCCATTTAACTAACCTTTACAAAATTGTGTTTTATTTTCACTGACAAACATTTCTTTATAGATTTTATACGTCTAAAATGTCAATGTGTGTTTACGGGGACATTGTATAATTATATTTATAAAATGTTTATGGAAGTTAAACTATATCGTATCAATATGAATTTTCTAGGAGCGCGAAACGTATAGATTCAGTGCGGTGGCAAAAGTGATGAGGGAGCTGCTGAGCGGCCGCCGAGCTCTCCTCGCCGGCACCCTCACGCAGGATCAAACCCGGGCCCTCAGGTTGAAACTGGTGGCGAAACTCGATTGGGGCAATAGGTGAGTCCAGTTCACTTTCGGATTACCGCAAACCGTAAAGGGCGAATAGTTGGTCTCATTTTGTGACTCTGGCCAATTTGATGACTTGACTGCTACCACTTTCTACTGTGACAGTTAATTAAAGTGACCGTCCATGTAAACTTCGGTTGGGAAAACGACTGTTATGTTTGCACATGCCGTCGTGTGCCCTAATATCGCTTAGCCGCCTCAAATTGCTTATGTAATTTAGGTATGTTACAGAAAATAAATTAGTTAAAATCGAGAGGTTTGAAAAACAAGCAATTCTAATCTGTGTGATTCATTCACTTGTTGTCGATTAACTTATGATTTATGTAGAGAATTGTTATTAAAATTCTATTAAGAGCCTCGTCAATTGGCAATTTGTATTAACACGGTTCCGCAGATTTTGTAAAGTGTATTGCTTAAATTAACTACAGCAATCTATTTGTTCCTGGAACGAGCTCCATTGAAACTTGTTTATAATATTTATGTTTTATATGGTGATATTAAGTTTTTTAATCAATCTGTCATTTGTATTGTAAAAAGTACGGATGTTGTTTTTTAATTACAAAGGGAGTTATAATATTTTATGTTTATTCTGCATTTATCGAAATGGTTAAATTGCACACCAGACATCACAGCGATGTGTATATTGTTTGGATTGATGTTGATAATCAGCCAAAGGTTTATATGTATTATCGATTTTTGTTACAATTCTACTTTCAATGTCATACTATTCTATATTTAAACTATATTACTATACAATTCTACTTTCAATAGGTCAACTCTACCGGGGAAGTACCACAACCTGACGGTGTGATTGAGGATTTTGTTGCAGATTTGTGTTAATTCCGGACCACGTACACAATTCAAAATTCTGGTTGAGACTATAGACGACTAAATTCCATTTTACCATTTTTCATAGTCGATATACATGTTTCCTAGCCGCGTTAGCTCAATGGAACCAGAGAAGTTGTTACTTACTTTAGTGCTGGTGTGGTGAAGTAAAACATCTTGAGGAAACCTGCTGTCTAAGAAATAATAATAAAGAAAATATTTGGACTATATATAGCCTGTCAATCTGCGGTATAGTTGAGTAGCGTACCTCTCTCTAGCGGAGGCCTTTGTCCAGCAGTAAAGTATATAATAAATATATTAACATGAGCTAGGGGTCCGGGATTGGCGTACAAAACAACGTATCTTCCAAAAGATCATATTTTACTTCCCGATCATATTTTACTTCCCGCCTCCTTTTTGAGCTCCATTATAACCCTTTGTATTTAAAATTAATTGGTGTGGAATCCTGAATCCTCCAATCCTTTGTGTAGAAGCGTCAAATCGATTCAACAAAACATACTAATCTTGACTATTATCTCTCGGTTATATAATTAAATGTAACGGATAGGAGTGGAACCCACGACCCATAGCTACAAAGTATTACGCTTAACGTTAATTTAAAAGAAATACGGCAAGAAGTTTCTTAGTTAGTTAGAAGTTAGGAATACTTTTTGTATAAAATAACTGCCATTAATACACGCGATATAAAGTCCATACTAACAGTAATATAAGTTTTCAAGTCAAAATTACAATTTTCTTTACCGATATATTAGGCTTAAGCACTTGTTGAAAGTCAAAAAACTTCCACCGGTTCCCGAATTTAGACCTGTTCAGAAGTTCAGTTATAATTTAGAAGAAACCGTAAGAAAATAAATTGTTCTCTCTTTTTCTAATGATCTATAGATATTTGCAAAGTATAAAATCAGCAGCAACTAGGGAGCTTGCTACTGCAAAAGTCATTTGCCCAGAGCATATGACTTTTGAGCCAACTTAGGTAGAGTAAAACTTACACATTTAGTTTTAGTGGGGTTTAAAATTATATTTGCAAACCAGTCACAATATCTAATATTTTGTTCGGTTGTTCTAGTATTTCATATTTCCTTCAAACTGTTAACAACAGTGAAGTGTCATGTGCAAAAAAAACTATTTGAGACCCACTTTCATCATAGATGGCTAATCATCATTAATATAAACTTAAATACTATGTAATATCGATCCCTGGAGAACCGATTTTACTTCTGAAATCGATGACTGACGATGGTTTAAGATTAGATTTTGCTCCCTGTCGGTAAGATAGGTGGAAACATATTTGGCAAATTTACGAATATATTAGTATTTCAAGTTCATAATAAGAATTGTTTGATCTACACAGTCAAATGTTGGAAAGGTCACAGAACAAAACAATGGTGTCATGTAAGTCTTCCCGAGACTGCAGTATATACGATAACCATTAACAAATCAAAATTGGTGGTTTTAATATATTACTAATTTTAATATATATTTATTAAAATGGACTATCATTTATTTCATGCTATATGTTCATATACAAAGTGTAATCTTTAATCGTGTGATATTGACGGAATTTACAATCTTTATTGATGTAATATTTACAAGATTAAATCTATCTAAGATTACATATTATGTAATAAACCTAATCCACACGGCATGGTGCCAAGAACGCTAGCTCCTCGCTGAATAGTTATGCTTAACCTTTGAGCGAGAAAAGAACCAGCTCTCTTGTAAAATATACAAATATATCTTAAATACTTTGCTCAAAGCAGCCAGTTATTTTTTTATGTGAGAAGGTGGTAAATGAGCTGGTGGTTCACCTGTTGTGAAGTGATAACTGCTTCTTATTAACATTTGCAACATCTGCAGTGTTGCAGATATGTTGCCACTTTTTAATTAAATGGGCCCCGACTACCTCTCTCACTTGACGAAACTTAGAACTATGACACTTCCACTTCACGCCAGGTCTTCTGTGAGGTCGTGGTACTTACCCGGGCCTGCCCACTCGTGCAGCAACAGAGAAAACTGTTGCGTGGCCCTACCACAGATATAACACTTTCGTTACGATACTCAACTATATACCATTATTTAATGTCATTTGATATTGTTCTAGTACCTTAAAAATTCATTAATCAATAAAGTATTAAAATAAGATGTACACAGTCTCATGTTCTCCGGATATTTCTTTGTTGTTAGTTTCGTCGTTCAACCGCCTTAGCTTAGTATATAACAGATACTTTCAATTTATTTCACTACAACACATTGTGGCTTATAAGAATTATAATCAGTTTTTCATAGTTCAGGCGTCTTTCGTTAGTTATAAGTTCGGCAAAATGAAACAATATTATAAATTTATTTCTATTTATTCTAAATTCATATCAAGAAAATTACACAGGAAAAAAACACGTTACAAAGGCAGTCTTCCTAAATAAAGGTGTTGAATACAACACAATGATTTTATTCTAGGAATGCTTAATACAAAACCGATTGGTTCTTATTAATATAGTGTCATTTTTTTATAATTTCATAAACCTATGTGTCCTTAACTCTATAATGTGTGCTATTATGCCTTAAACATTATTATGGAAGAATTTGGAGATTCAACAAACGACGTCACAGCGTAAGGCACTTATTTTTTATATGGCTAAAATGACTGAGAGATAGATCAATTTACCCTAAGACTAAATATAGTGTCGATAATTAAAAAGTGGAATATATTTTTCGATACAAAATGCAAGCCTGGTGCTTAGTCACGGCTCCTAGCTATTCCGTTCAAATGGCACAAATGGTCAGAGTAGTTTTTTTTTTTTTGAGTATATAATATTTAATACATATAAAACACCTCTTTTGCACCAGCGTTGGCTTAACTAGTACACTCTCGCTTTACTTGCTCCTAAAGATAGATTTCCATGTAGCTAAAAGGCTTTTTGCCCTTTAATTGTCGAAGATCATGTAAACCTAGCTTTAAAATTCTCTTAATTTTAGCTCAATCGAATGGGCGCACAAAACATTTAGTTAATACTCTCCTGGATATTTCATAGTTTATTTGCTTAAGAACTAGATATATGCGGCTAAAACGTCTTTTACACTTATGAAAGTAATGCGGTAAATTTATGTAAATATAACATTTTTGAGCTATTCTGTCTTTTTTAAATAACTTCATTGTACATTTGCAGTATGAATCTGTTCTTCGTAACATTCACTCATCTTGAAGTCAATTTGAAATAAACTTTACCCTGTATAGGTAGCATCACAGACTCCTTATTATTTAGCGTCTTTATGTTGTTTTAGATTTTGTATTATCTGGATTAACTTCATCACATCCTTCGACCGATATCTTACCAAATATTTAATGCCTAATACTATTTTCTAATATTGTCATGCACGTCCAACATCATTTTAAATCAACAAGTAAAGTTATTTCAATTCCAAAAAAATTATTCACTCACAACAAAACGGCTGAGACCATTTTAAAGCTCTGACGTATACAATACAAACTGAGTCTGGTACTAACGAAAGTGATACTGTTGTCTATAGGTAAAAATAACGGAATGTATTGAGTGGCGCTATGTCATGGAATTATCCCCAAAAGAAGAAATTAAACATAAGCTACCGCAAGCACGAGCGTAATGGAAATGATAAAACGTTAAACTTATGAAAGGAACAAAAATGGCCATGCCTCGAATACAAAATTTGAGATGTTGCACTTACAAGGAAGCGTCTAGAATATCCTCAATAGTAATCGACCAGAATTTCTCAAAAAATGTAAAGGAGACATACTTTTTCACTTCGGCTTACGTTTCCGTTTCTTTCGAGTACTTCTCGATATTTGGATAGATTGGTGCCATTTCGAGGGTCGAGGGAGCAGACGGAGCGTTGGATCCTAGATGTAGTCTCCGCGATAGCTCATCCAAAACTTCTCCGAACACACGGAGAGACATGTTCTGGCCAAGAAGATGCAGTAGGAGGAAATCGCCAACCTGAAAAATATATATTATCAATTAGAAATAATTGTTAGTTTTAGGACCAACTTTATCAGATAAATCAATGGAAATATTTGATAAATTAGTACCATTACGTAAAAATCACGAAAAGTTTGGTTGATTCATGCTTGAGAGTCTATTAATTTCAATTATATTAACATACCTCAGTCTTTCTAACTAGTGCTTCCACGCCGTTAGGGGTGCCGAAACGGAAACGTCTCTTCAGGATTGTCTCACGAGTACTGGGTAGGAGAATCACAGCCGCCGAGTAAACAATCGCCAACCCAGAGAGAACCGACAAGATAATGAACCTGGAAACGGAATATATTCATAGCCTTTGTCATTTAGGTTTAACGATAATCCTTATGTGAACGCGTGACTCATCGCAGTTTCTTTGTATTCGAATAGGAAATGTTAAGCAAATACAATGAGTGGAAATCTATTAAGTTTAGCTCTAAGGAAGCGGAGTGCGTTTGAATATTCGTTGAAAATGATTTGCACGAAGAAGCAATAAAATAGATATGCGAACTTTTTATGTTGTAGGTACGTACCAGAACCATAGGAAAATGAATATCTTCTCGTTAAGGATGTTCAGGGCAAGGACACACAAGGCGTCGTGTTTCTGGATTGTTCCGGAAGCACCAAACTTGTGGAAGGTGCACTTAGTCACTCTAGGGAAAACTTCAATCTGGAAAATAAGATTAGTAAACATTAAATAAATTGGTATTAGTATTACAAATCTCTTTAATGTTACGAATGTTAAGAATTTTTTAGGTGCTTTTGTCAAAGAATATATTAAAATTATTGATCAAATCAGCCTTATAACTTACCATAGGATCAGTGCGTTGCTCTTGGTTCATGTTAGAGAACTTGACAACGTCCGTTCCATAGGTCAAGAAAGCTCCTCCGAGGAATGTATCGAGGAAAAAGATGTTTCCAACCTAAAAATAATTTCACGTTACTTACATGCCTAGTCTGGTTTATTTTTATTAAATTAACATATACACTACTCATACTTACAACGTTGGCGAAGTTCAAAACTTCACAGAAGAAATAGCCAAAGGAGTAGGTGTTGTGCATATGCAGAGTTTCGTAAAGATATTGCACCAGACGATTCTGAAATTTTTACAAACTTAATTAATTATTAACTTTTCATTGATAGAGTTGATTCTGTGAATACTAAACTACATAAATAAGATTTAATAAAAATTATTTCTTTTTGAAGATATTTGAAGAGAATGTAGTGGAAATTTTTTGTATTACGTACATATTATGCAAACTTATTTTTAATGATTCATGCTTATAAAATGTTCATATGGAACAAATAACTCTGCTTATGCAACCACGCTCATCGGGTCAATTACAAGGGATATCAAGTTTTATTAGTGCCGTGCCTTATCTCAATTGTACCAATTGGAGTAACGGGACACTATATCAGTCATAATTATACAGTAGGCAAGAGTCGAACGGGAGCGATACAAAGACGATTGTTGTTTACCTGACGTTTGCTCTTATCGTCGGCGATGCAGGCAGATGTTCCGCGCATTCCCTCCGATATCATGCGGACCTTGCCCTCTTCCCAGTTCTTCCAGATCCAGTGCGGTATGTAGAACAGTAGTCCCTGGAATATCATCGACGAAACATATTAATTCCAATGCCCACGATACTTTGTACCCTATCGACACTGCAGCAACGAATATAATTTTCTAATGCGTTTTTTCATAGATGCAAACATGACATACTAGAGATTACAGATTTCCATATTTCAAGGCCTTTTCACCATTGCTTTGCCTCTCTCAAATCCACATCTATACATACAATCTATATTCATGTGATTATGGTTAGTTTTGTCGCCCTCCGCACGTCTAATCTGCGCTAGGTATGTGGCATTACAACGTCTGAAAATATATTATATAGAATCTGTTCACATTATTTAGAGCCTACGTAACCCTGCTTCTTACCTGGAAGAACAGCATGAAGGGCACCCATTGATAGTAGGCATGGATTCGCTTTTCCTCCTCGTAGTCGTTACCGAGGCCGGGATGTGCCACCGCCTTGTGGTTTGTGTAGGGCAGGGTGAACGTGTAGGTGATCCAGCAATATGTGTTCAGGATGTGCGGGGATATAGCGCCGTCGTTAATGCAAGAGATCGGGTCACCTGGAAATTGAATGAAAGAGACCAAATTGTACTTAGATTGTTTGTTTTAACATAATGTCCACATAGGGAATTCAACTAGTAAATATTAAATTAGTTCATACTTCGGGGGTTTTGTTTTCAATTATCCTTATAAAGAAGAGCTACCCGTAAACGGTAAACAATCTTAGTGGTAATTAGAGACGATGAAATCATCTTCGTTAAAATGTTTGCCCTGTTTTAAGTCGCTGGACATGTTATAAATTGTAACCGTTTAGTCTTTTCAATAAATAAGTTGTTAGTAATTAATGAACTGAATTCGACAGGATCAATATTTGCATTTCCTTGTTCACGTCAGACCACGTGTTGTATCCCATTGTACGGTCCTAGCCGGCTGCGTTTCCCCCTGCCCACTTTAATTGTGTCGACCGTGAATCAAATCACCTTGTCCGCTATGAGGACCCCTAGTTGAGAGTAATAAAGGACATAACATAGTGTGTACGTAACATGTCATGGTAAACTTAAACTTGGAGCAATAACCCGAATCATATACGAAATTGTCAATTTTTAAACGGTTTTATTTAGCTCGACACGTACGGAATTTGTTTATTTATTTGGGTCAAAATTAGAAATTGACATTTAAGCACCTTCCCGTTGTCAGATTGATCTGAAATTTGGTACACACATTTAATTTAGATGACAATACAATATTGTAGTTTTCAGTGCACAAAAAAAAAACATAAAATAAAACCGTTTAACTTAAAGTTTTTGAACGGTTTTATTTTAAATAAATGCTTTAGACATCTTAAACATGCTCGAAGTGAATTGGTTTTTTAAAGAAAGGAGGAATTTTTTTTCGAATTTTTTTAAGAGGGCACGGTCTCAGTTCGGTTGTATGTTATTATCTCAGAACTCAATCATTTATCAAACGATTTGAAAAACTATTTTTGCGTTTGGTTAACTTTAGCTCCCATAACAATAAATATGGGACTGCCTACTACCATATTAATTTTATTAGCATTGGATCTTGTACTCCGGAGATACGTCAGGGAACTCCATAAAATCAAATAGAAAATGTATGGTGAGTGAGACTTTAGACGGTTTTGTTTGTCCTTAGTAATAGTTTACGTGTCTTTCGTTTTACAGCAGTCTATTCTTCTCTTAAAAATTATTATGATGCAATGTGATGCGATATGCAACAGCCGTACTATAGTTTCATATTAAACGAGTAAATTCGGCGAGTGTCTTATAACAGCGACATTCCTGCTAATTACTTTTGTTATTAACGAGCACTTGGCATAGTTAACGTGTTCATCGTGAAATTAGTTTACGCACGGTTTTAAATTACCCCCTCCGGTAAAGAATGAATCTGAAGGCGGAAATCAATTATCATCAATTAGTATGAAATCACGCATATTGAAACAACTCGAGCGATAATCTACGATTGTTCATCCTCAGTGCGTTAATAAAAAATGATATCGTGGGACGCTGTTCAATCGTAGTTCCTTTCGCTATATGTTATAATTATATTAAATAACAGCCACAAAAACAAATGAACTGTGAGACTAATTAAATGAAAAAAAAATTAATAAATCGATGAAGGTATGGTAATGAAAATGCAATTAATAATTTTCTTTTGAAAAGTTATGAAAATAAAAAGGTATACTGCTATCTTATATATAAAAATGGATTGCTGTTCGTTAGTCTCGAATAAAAACTCGAGAACTGCTGGACCGGTTTCGCTAATTTTGGTTTTAAAATATTTGTGGCAGTTCAGGGAAGGTTTATATGAAAAATTATGGGAAAGTTGCATGAAAAATCGAAATAGTAACAATTTTATTTTCCCATACAAACTGTACCTGTCAACCTGTCAACTGTGTCTGTCAAACACTTTATGCGTGCGTTCCGATTCCTCTAGAAATAATTTATATGGCAGAACAACGTTTGCCGAGTCAACTAGTAACAATATAAAAACAAAAAAAAATTAAACAGCAATTTTCCCCGTTAATTTGTTCTGATTATTTACCGCTTCCGACTATCTCAAGCCTATGAGTAATACAGGCCTATTCTCGTTACGGTAATTGGAGTTCGTCGTTCGGTCGTTAAGTAAGCGGCAAGTGGCATCGGCGACGCAAATGATAAGAGCTTAACAATCGCCGATAAACGTATTGGCTGTGAACGGTTATTGCAGAGAGTCTATACTAGTCTCGTACTGGGTCACGGCAAACTGCGGCTCTGTAGCGAACTTTATCTTTGCAGATCTCGCTGTGAGACACGTGCGATATACATCGACTCGATGCGAATTCGGTGTTCACTGGAACCGTCGTAAAGTTCTAGACTAGTTCTATAAACTAGAACTAGTCTAGAACTTTACGACGTACTAAAACGTGCTACAAGTAGTGTATTACTATATGCGTAATTCGTATTCTGGTTATTGGAATGTGTATGTGTAATTCATAAACCGCAGTTTTATAATTCATTTCTGCATTCCCACAAATGAATTAGGTCATTTCACAGAAGCAAATACGCAGTATTTTATTTTTAATTATTAATTATAATATTATTAATAATATTTCATAAAAAAACAAAGGAAATAAACACGTTGAGATAATCGTCCAGATTCAGGAGATTCAAATCTCTCAGAGGCGAAAAACTTTGTCCGTTTTACTACAAATTTAAAAAAAGATTATCCGTTATGTACGTATCCCAACGTAGTACAGTATAATTAATCGACTTGTCAGTAAAACTGAACGTGCTGATATTTTATAACGACTCGGATATTCTCATAACAAAATCTAATTGCAACGCTCTGTTATCGGTGCATTCGCAGCGATGTTTTGATTAACAACACCTGAGCGGCAAATGTGATTGTTTGTGTGCATAGTGGGTCACGAACTACAACGTTGCATTCGGTTAGCTGATCGTTGTTTTTACTGTTCCAGATAATGCCCCCTGGCAACAGTCTGTTTGTCGTTTATTGTTCGGATAAGGTGACACCGGTTCATCGAAATGATAACCATCCGATTATATTTTTTGACGAATTAAAAGAAAACAATATTTTAGAGATTTCCTCGGGGCTAATTTTCCTTTCAAATTATCAAAATTTCGAACAGTTTCAAACTGGATATGTCCCTTATAGTTTATAATGATCTGTATAAAATGGTGTAGTTAAAATTAATACCAATTTAGAGAATTTTATCGTTGTATACAATAATCTATAAACTAATTCTATGTTCATATTACAGTCGGTGTAATGTGCAAATAGGTCATTGGCCAAATGTGCCTTTTATTTCATAGAACGGCCCGCTCGTCGACTTGAAATTGATCTTCGGTCGCATGGCATGCTTCATTGTTGTTTTATATGCGATTTCTATAATGCTTGACGGTGAAGTTAAAACTATTAATAAACGCCCGAGTAATATAATTTCTGCTGCCAGTTTGTTTTCTGTTGCTGTTATTTAGACAGTCGATGACTATCAAAAATAAGGCGCGGAACTTTTCACCTCTTCACTTTGGATAACTTTCACGTCCAGCAAATTTTTTCATGTTCACGACTTCTCCGAAACTACTTTCTCGCACAAGAACAGTCGTTCCCAATCCAGGAGATGTAATTCGGAAAACGAGAAACGTCTAAATTGTCATCATTTCGTCTTAATATTGCTCCGAATAGATTCGAACCCGATCAATGCGTTATTGCTTCTGAGATTAACGCCAACGATTTGCGTCATGGATATTATAATCGAACACTTAATTTTTCGCAGCAACAAATGGACTAACCGATGAAATTTGACATTTTACGTTTTGTGGTGATCTACAAATAGATGCACTGCGGGATGATGTATATACTTTGATGTGCGGTGAACGTTATTTTATGCAATCTAGGCTCAGTAATTGTTGTGTTATGCAGGTAATAATGCGCTAACGCCTGTTGAAAGTACATGCCTTTTGCTACGCGCAACTCGCTTATTTAGATTTTATTATACCAACTGAATAATAATAACTCAATTGGGGGCCGAAACGAGAGCGATTGTTGTAAAAGTTGTTTTACGAGTAGGGCTAAATTTTATTGTACATGAAATATAACAGATATTAAATCTGAAGTTAGGCTCAAAATTTAATTCAGTATTTGTGTTTTATTTCATCTTTTAATATTGAATAATCGATAACGAATAGTGGATGGATAGTTGGATAATTAGAAACATGTTTATGAAAGTCGATTTTGATTATTACACAACGTCATCAAAGGTGTTTGAAACCGTAATCCGACCACGTGTTTAATTGTAACGAGAAGCGAGTGCGAAATATTAATACCATGCATCCCTCTATTATTGCCTGTAACAATGAAGTAACAAAAGAAGTTATGCTGACCTTTTTGGTTTCAAATTTCGCTATCATTTCCATACGCCGGAAATGTGAAGTCTTATATTGTTTTACACATTTTTCAATAAATGCCTTTCTATTGTTCTCATCCAGTAAAAAAACATTTTTCTTTGAATGATATATACAAATATGTGGTAAATGATTCAGTCAATTAAATGGAATATATCATATTAATATGTTGATTAATTAATGTGTAAGCTGTTACTATTGATACCCTAAAGTATGGTTAAGCAATTGAGTTAAAGACTTGTTCACGATTTACGTTTAATAGTGGCAATGTAAATATACTGTTAAAATGACTAAAAACTTTTATTAACGATATACCCCTATTCATAGTATAAGATATTTTTAGTCAAACAAACTAGAGGTTATTAAGTGTCGGTCGTTTCTGTAAGTGGTACCACTAAACGAGGAGCACGCGATAACATTAATACAAACAATCCAGTCACAACTTGATTTATCGAGAAGCAACATAAACAAAAAGCATCACAAGAGATTATAACCAATATACTTAGTAAAATCTACATTTTCTACAATTATGGAACTGTCGACTCTAAATAGCTGTTGTTAATCTTGGAGGGCTAAATCTTCTTCCATCCAACGATCTGCATATGCACAGCACAGGAACCGGTCCGAAGATGATTGAGATTGCGAATGAAATAGATGTTATTATTTAATCTGCGGTCTATTATTCAGATTGCGGACGACACCGTATTAATTCAAACGCCTAACAGCCCAACAGTTTTGAATTGTACGATATACCTATTCGTTCTAACGAAGATCTATCTTATCCTAGCTGATTCCAAAGGTTTGGATTCTTTTTGTACTGTTGTTTAATTGTACTGTTGTTTTATTTTAATCTACTATTTTTCTTAAATAATTATAATGGTTACTTGAATAGCTAGTAATTATTATTTTCTTATAGAGATTTTCTCAAGTTTTACATTTCGAAATCTAGTTGACGTTGGACATTGCCTCCTTGCCAAGACTAATCGAGTACGATTCCGTTAAACTTTGTTCGTAGCTTGTACAGTTCATGTTCACCAAGTTCAATGTCCCGATTAGCCCCGACGTCTCTAACCTTATCACGTATGTGCGTTCGCGCCTCTTTTCTGTTTGTACGAGCAATTTGACACGATGTCTCAATTTGGGTAACTGTTACGTGCACAGCCGAACTGAACAATGAACTGAAAGTGATTCACACATTTTACGGTGGCCACGAGAGCACCGGCCAGACGTGCATACTGTTATTTCCCCGTATCTATCGGTCATTTGGTCTCAGTTTACTGGGTCATTGGATTTCACGGTTACAAGGAGCAATGTTGCGATTGTTCGCGTTAATTAGACACAGCCTATTAATTGACTTTTACCTGAGGCTACGGTAATCGATATATACGATTTTGGCGTTGATCTTTGCAAGAGTAGTTACTAATTACGTTATTAAAAGCTTGAAACCAAACTAAATTGAATAAAGGAACTTTGACATAGGAAAAGTCTTACCGATAAGATTATTGGCAGTCACGAGGAGGCAGCACAGGAACAGTATGGCGGACGTGATGCGGTAGTGCATTCTGAACACCATGTTGTCGATAACAGCCTTGTCGATCAGGTAGCGGACTTTTACGAAGCCCGCCACCGCGGACGCCATTCCGAACACCGCCATCTTGGATTAACTTTTTTCTCGTCTGAAATAAAGGGCACTATTATATCAACGGGTTCAAAATGGGACTTCGCAAGACAATGGTGGATAAGGGTGGCTAAAAATAAAATCTCGCCGTCTTAAGGGGCGTAGTGATAAGTGCTATGCGCAGTTGATACTAAATCGAAACGGAACTTAAACGGTAAATTTTATTACGTTCGACTCTGTCGTGCGAGTGCGCCCGCTAATGTTTATTCAGTGTCCCGAATTTATATCTGTATTTGCTTTCGTCAGATACGAGGAAGATAGATAGGAGGATTCCAACGTTGTATTTGCTTAAAATTTTATTAAAACAAAAATTATGAAGTTAATTCTCAATCAATGAATTTGTATTTAATGCGACTAAGAGGCTTCAGGCATCTTTTTCACGCCCCCGCTTTAGATTACACTATTCGAACGTCACGGTTTCGTCGATCACACGCGTTGTTTTAGGCACGTCTTTGTCTATTTTTACTGGAAACATGTATGACGTTTAGGACTAACGGGCGCGGCGTCGCTTCGTCGAGAGATGCACGAAGAATTGAATGAACACGATTCTAGTGGGCAATTCATCACAAATAGATCTGACCTTGGCGACTTCTTGATCCCGTTCCTACGCAGTGCTCTCTCTATTATCTAGGTCGCCCACTGTACGGATTTAATAAACATTAAATTAATACACCATTTTTATTAATGAACTACGCGCGTCTACTTGGCGATACAAAGTTGGTGTAGCTACGAATATTGTAAACGTTGCATAAGATTTGCGGCAGCATCACGATAATGCAATAAAACGGTTGTGTTCGTTGTTGTCCGCTATCGTGATCTCGTCGCGGGATCAGGTCGGGCGCGATGAAGACGAGTGGTGCGCCGGCGCAGGGCGGCGGGGTCGTCGACCGGACTCCGTTCGTTCTTCCTCCAGCGCTCGAAACCTCCCCCTCCCCCTTCGCCCTCCGCTCGGCCGAGCCTGCCGCTCTCGCCGCGCCGGAGCGAATTTCGCGCGGAAAACCAGTTTCCGAGTTCGCGCGGCGACGGTCCCCGACGACGGCTCGCGATTTCGACAGCGCTCTTAAGGCTGCACCGACTGGACGTGCGCGATCCGCTTCGACTCGTCACATTTTAGCGGCGATGACGCGCCCGCTGTTAAGCACCATTACCATAACGCCGTATCGCCGACAGTCAGTGTTCGTTTAGCGACTTGTTTGACTTGTCCACTGTTTGCACATTGATAGCGTGGGCGCGAGGAAAGGGCGCGTAGGGGCATTCCTTCTCTCTTACGACGGTCGCAGACGCACGCGTCATCCCGCCACAGCCCCGATGTTTTGTCTAGATTGGTGGTTTGCCTCAAAAAAACTACGCGCAGTTCGATTCGCGATACAGTTTACGCTTTAAGGCTATATAGGAGTTTATCGCATGACTAATCTATGCGTCATCACTAAATAAATTTACCGAACAAAGAAGGAATGCAATATCAGGCCGAGGTTGTGCCCATCGGTTGCTTTATTGAAGGAGGCCGGCACGCGACGGCACCCTGAATGAACGCTAATTGCGGGAGACGAGCGCATGTCCGCATGAGCACTCACATAATACCGGCGATCGGTGCGTGGGAAAAGAATCCCGATCGTAATGCATCGCGAGCGTACAATAGGAAGTGCCCGCGCGCGTTCCATGTGCTCGCAGAATCTGCCACGCAGATACGGAGCTAGAGAAATCGATGATGTTAATACTCTCGATATGGTGCAACGATCGTCTTCTGTGTATTCCTTACATTTAAGGAAAAAAGAGCCCCTTTCTTAAACGTATTTAAATAAAATTTCTGTTTTATCACATTCTATTTTTGGGTTCAATTTTTAAGGGTTTGCTTGTGTTCTCTTTGTTATTTAGTTTTACGATATCGTTTTAGATTTTTATTATCAAATGTTGTGCTAGATTTGAGAATCGCCGCGCCGACGTGACTCGTAAAAGCGTATCTAATGACGCGACATCGATCGTGTTAGGTAATGTTTAGTCGGATACGAGTGAATGGTGAAAACAGTCTGTCGTAATTCCGCAAAGTGAATAATGATGTCTCATATTCGAGCTTATTACTAGGATCGGCGGACCCGTAGGTCAGAGTGGCCGCTTGGTTGACGTATATTTTATTTACACAGACGGTACAAACCGTTTTTTATGTTTGTTAAAAGTTGGTAAACGAGGAGGCGTTTCGGCTGATGTTAAGTGATTACCACCGCCATGGATATTTAAAACACTTGACGAGTTGCAGAGGCGTTGCCAACCTGTTAAAAAGTGGGTCCCGGCTACCTCACGCAAATTTACTTTCGAGTAGATGTTGAATGTTTTTCAGTCAGCTTTCTGTATAAGTATTTATTCGAATTTTATATTCCTCGACTAAAACTAAGTCTGTGAGGTCATCGTAGTAATTTTTTTTGGAGGGCGTGTTTTTAGTCATCACTGCGGGTCCTTGCAATCGCTGTGTGTCATCGGGACGGTATCAAGTTATGCGGAAACGTTGCGTATCTATTTTGCGGTTGCCACGGAGCGGTACTCGCGTTTCAAGTAATCCCAAGTTGAATATAGTACATTATATAATATAGTACATTATATATATATATACATTGTATAATTTTTACAACATCGTTCTTCTAATCCAATACAGTGGACATACTTTATATAGCTCTATCACATGTACTTTGTTCGGAATATATTTCATCTAGCGCGAATAGCTACTGTATTCGTTGGAATTAGAGGTCAGTGTGACATGATAAGCAAGTAGTTGCCAAATATGATGTCCATAATTTCGTAATATTTCATAATTATTGTAAGTCTCGATTTTGAATGTATAATGTTTTATATAATGTACATTAGGAAAATTTTCATTGTACAAAAAGATTGTGTTTATGTAATAAAACATCTGGCACACAAGCTCCTAACAGCGCTAAGGTCAAAGTTACAGATGCGTTCGTGAAGATTTGTACGCGAGTCGCGTATTGTGAAACTTGTACGTTCTAATTGTTGTGACGCGCGCTGCATAGCAAATTATGTTTTTGTATTTTCGACTGACAGAAAAGACTCAGGAAAAATAGTTGTATGGTGACAAGAAAAACGCAAGAGCACCGCCGCTATCATAATTTATTTTCCGTATTGACGTCGAAGATGTCCCATTAACATACAATGAATATAATACGGCGACATTGCGCTTATAAAAATAGCTCAGGAATTCTATCTGGAAATACGGGATAGACCGGGATCATCATGCAGGTGGTGCCCGCACTGCGTGACTGGAATCCCACAAGTGTGACCTGTTGAAGATGCCATCGTCGTACAAACAAATGAGAGCCCCGCACTGCTGTGGGAACTACGCGGTTCCTTGCCACCGTATATGAATTTTAAAATGTATCGTGATGTAGCAATTGCCTCGTCCATCTGTGCTTTTTCGTTCGTGCAAGCTTTCAATATTTAAAGTTTTTTTTTCTCTTAACGTAATTAATAGATAATATAAGACATCAACGCCGGTGTCGATGTTTCGTTTTATTTACACAATTAATATATAGAAAGTTATCAATATCGATCCGCAGTAAGTCTTAGAGAATATTTCATGTAGGTACTTTCAAGTTTCTTTTATCATTTCTCATAACGTTTAATGTTTGCGCTTTTGTATACGCATATGGTGTTGGATGTGTGGGTGTGTTTGTGTATGTGCAAATTTATACCGATGTATATACAATTAGAACTTCAAATCAATCACGATATTCATTTTCGCAAATTCGTCGCGTATCTTCCGTGTCGATTGTTCAGACCTGCAGCTAACTTAATCTGTTGTTAAAAATTTCTTAGTTCATGCTACTCGAAATAATCAAATAATCAAAAGACGAAAATCGTTATGTTATAAATTCTCAATAATCTACATAATATGTTAAATATACACAAAGGAATTAATAATATTCACCTTTTCGCAGAGTCGCTTTAAACTGATTACTGTACATATACTTTGTAATGTTCAATTATGTTAATGGCCTAGAACTACATAGCAAGAAACACATTAAAACCGTTTTTGTAATATAATGAGCATTTTATATGAGTAAACAACTGGGTTGTTATTACAAAGTACCTACAGCAATAAATTGTAATTAAAAACTGTCAATGTGATAATTAAAATAAAAAATCCGGGTAGGTTCTTAATATCACCCGAAAGTGGCTTTGTTACTTTATAGAATTTTTAAATACATTTTGTGGTTCACTAAATACTAATCGGATCTTTCAAACAAAGCAAACATTATTTCTAAGATTCTGGGGTCATTAACCACTGACATTTTAATGCGGCCGTTACGTCTTTTCGAATTTAAATGAGTTTTGTAATAATGAAATCGTTTCGTCATAGTGCCGCGAAATAAGGGAATAATAATAGTGTACTATTAGCTATCAGTGTGCCATGTGCTGGCCATTCTATACAAATGCGCCGTTCTCTCTAAACCTTTATGGCCCTCAGGTAAATGGAGAAACACCTACCTGAGATATCCGTTGCCAGTTTTGAGCGTTCAATAAGTCATTTCGCTATAGATTTCAACATGAATCACGGCTCATTGGTGGACCCTCGCGAGAAAGCGCTCCTAACAAAAAGAGAACGACGCCGGTGCACGGGGGCTTTTGTTCCTGAACAAACCCGCACGCATGCCGTCGAGCTGCATTCCTCGCGTCGCCGAAACGTGTTTTCGGTACCGTCCAACCGACTCTCGTATGACACAACTTACCTTCCAAATCAACAGTTACTCTCCCCCGTGGTGTGGTCTCCCGGGCAACGCTCACTCAACGTCCTCGACGTCACAACACAAACGCGGTGCTTATGGCGCGTGCACGTTCAGTTATACGTCATAGTTTTCGATACGTCATGGATGTGAAGTGCGGCTGGGTAAGACTGGTGGCGGCGGGTAGCGTAGCGCACACCAGTCGCCTGCGGGTCGGGAACACGAACTGGAAAGCGCACTCGACGCGTCGGCTTGCGCCTCTCGCAACTCACTACCGGACGACGCTGCGGCGTGCGCGCATCTGCACCCGTCCCTCTCTAGCGCGTCAGAGAGCAGCGCCCGCGCGCTCTACCCCTCTCTTTCCACTGTCCCAAATGCACAGTAGTCGCGCCCGAGAATCTATCGGACGAGTTCGAGTCTGTCGTGACTCCTTTCCACTGCTCGTCGGCGGCGCTTTGAAATTTCGTATGGCAATTTTTTTCGATGCGCCTATGATGACCGGTTTATAGGAGCGGTTATTGCTTCCTCCGTTCGTTACCGTGCCGTCTAATGCGCTAACACACGACCGGCCCGCATTAATCTAAATGATAGTTCGAGTGTAATTTAACTGGTAGTACGGAAGGGGTTTTTAAGCAAAAAGCATAATCACTGTGTGAACTATTACATTAGGTTACGGAATAATTGATTTGATTATGGTATCGGTGAAATATTTAAGTTATAATTTTGTAATAATTTGTCTGGATGGACGTGCTGACACACGTGTTAAGACTGTATAACCGGTGTTTTATCCCCCATTAATGCAATTAATAATAGCTCATATTGGCCACAGTGAGTCGAAAGTAAATGGCTGAGGTCAACTCAGACGACCGGAGCTCTGTCATTGGCTAGGCATGCGGACCGTCTACCTGTTGTTCAGCCCGATCCTCAGAAATAAAGGAATAAATTACGAGAAATAGACAGGTTCCATCTCCTCTGTTCCGTAGACGAGTTATTCTTTTTAAGAGCTTTCTGTTGTTGCGAAATGCGGGCCCCGATATATGATTAATTTCAAATAAATAACGATCTTAAATTTTTTACAATATGAATGTTTTATTATATATATATTTTTGTTATTTCTATACAAATACAATAGGTAGCATAGATAGATTGGACAAAATAATAGACAGACAAGCTAACGGCAGCCCGGATTGAAAATGACATCGTTACCATGGCTGCTTTAACTTTTCGAACGTCTGGAAGTTGAGGAACAAAAAAACGCGGTGAACTCCGTAAAGAAGTTCTATTTACCGTGACGGGAATTAAACAATTTTTAACAGCGTAACGTAGCGAAAAAGTTTTTTGCCAAGTACCTACAATTGATTAAATTCAACAATTATTTGTTTGATATAATTGCGAAAGTGCCCGGAGACCTTCAAGCCAGTTGGCTGATTAGGGCTCGGATCATTTTGGCCTTTGATCTGAAAACAACCGAATGTTTGGGTCATTAATTTTAGAAAAATTTGAACCCTAAGGAGGTAATGGCCGCAATTATTTCATTAGATTACTTTATTTGAATTCAATATGTGTATTTGTTTTATGAAATTAATTTGCTTACTAGTCGCCCAAAAGGATGAATTCGAGTTGTACCCGTCGACTCTTTTTGTTTTAAATAAATTGTTTACCATAAAGATATTCTTGTAAAATATTAAAGATATTCTTGTATTGTGACTTCTTTATATTGGATACAAAATACATAAATCTGGGGATAACCCTATTCAACATGATCATAAGAAATCATGGCCTATGATATTCTTCGGTGCTAGAAACAGCAACTCGTATTGCCTTAGTTAAATTCAGTGCTGTTTTTAATGATGAACTGTTTGCATTTTTCAAATTTTTAGTGGTTTTTTAAAACGTTACGAGCAACAAATTCATGAAGTATCATGTATATCATCATCTGGGATATGTAATGTTATCGAAATTAACTTAATTTTTTTGTTAATAAAAATAATAAATGTGTTTACTTCATCTCAATTTATACATTAAATTTAAGGTCGAATGCACGAATGGCACGGGACCTCCTCTGTTTTTTACTTTTGCTTTATCTAATGCTTTTGCTTTCAATCCGTACGTAGAATATTAAAGTTTTATCGATTGCCGAAACGTAGACTACCCAAAACCAACAGCTTGTTACGGCCGCTCATGTGCTCATTGGGCCGCTGTATTTTCTATGCACGATAGGAGTTAAAACATACCCGCGTATGCTTAGCAGGCATGCGGCCAAATACACGGTGATAGCATACTCAAATACTCCTTTGTACATGACTCATGTAAGAATCAGTGGATATATTAGCCTAATTCTTAATCGGCTGGGTCTTTCGATGTTCAGCGTTTGATAAGGTGTGCTGAAAAGCAGTGTTCTAATTCCTTACCCGCAATTCTTTCAAATTTGACGGCTGTGATCTTTCAAAATTATAATCGGAGTCTAAATATACGTCTCACGTTGTAATATAATTTAAAATATTTTTTTTGATTCCACTCATGTCTGCTTCGTAAATTCTCCGAAATGTTAGTATCGTGATGTGATTACCCAAACGTAACGCAATGAGGAACTTTGTTTCGTTAATTATTTCCAGTAGTTTATAAAAAATCTAAGACATATGCTTATTTTCCACGGTATACTTATTTTTTTAATTGTATATTTAGGATAATTATTCCTTAAATACCTTTACTCGCTGAATAATGTTCAATAACAATGTACTTTAACGGAATAAGAGTTATTTTCATAATATGATAACTTGCCGCTTGAACCTTACCTTAATAATGATATATATTTTATCATTAAAATCATCTAATTATTTATGTTTATCATTTTAGTTACATAAGCGTCGCGTTTCAGGCCAGACAAAACTGATTAAAAACTCGTTATATTCCACGGTGGTTCATTGATCTATTCAAAAGAGGTGTGCACGTTTTATCCAAATCTGTTGATATTTTTTACATTTATAGAAAAGTATAAACGAGTTTGAACTTCGTGTTTGCTCTTAGTGATACGTCCTTTCTAATCTATTTTTAATACGTCATTAACAACGACATGAGACTGCGACGGCGATCCTTCATAGATGTTAACTTTTCGATTAGTACGCGCCACAAGTGGTTTTACTTATGGCCCGCTCGCTGTCTTAACGTTGCGGGTCGCGCGAGCCGACAGACAGTGTCGCTTGAATAACTGGTTTGGTGACCTCTCCGATGCACACAGAAAGACACCGATGTCGTGATTGCTTTTATCGTTGGCAACGCCGTAAACGCCAACCGATACAAAGTCCTCACCACTTTTTACAGCGATACGAGACTATCTTTCATCTTAAAATATTAACAGAATGAGCAACATAGGAGTAGTAGTTCTTTGAATGATTATTGATAGTTAGTTCAAGAGTTCTTTAGATATAAACTTTATATTTATAAACCGTAATGTATAATATAAAATTATTATTTATTTATATTATTAGAATTCACGCTTCTTCTGGGCGTAAATCCGCAAGACGTCGCAGGGTTCGACTCCCGCAGTGTCTTAAATAAAACATTTCGTTAATTTTTATACAAATTTTATTGTTTCATCTTCAGTGCAGAGATTAGCGCTATAAAAATTTTAATTAGGTTAAGGTATGTTATAACAAGGTCTTACTATCTAAGAAGTTTTTTATCTGCCGAATCATAAATACTCTGGGTTTACTTATGTCTTATTTTGTTGGTTTTATTACATTTTGAGAGTCGGATATATTATATTAAAATGTGTGGCCATTTTGGAGTTTATCATCAAATTAAAAAGGATTTGTTAAAAATCGGTATCAGACCACCCAAAACAATTTTACTTATAATGTTCGAATCTTACAAAATTACTTACATAATTCAATGCCGACCTCGAAAGTCGGCCCAATTTTATGTACGTAGCTTTCATTTTGATAAGACCTTGTTTATCGTGCAGTACTGACAACGTGGCAAAGTCTACGGGAGAAAAATTAAAAGAAATCTGCTGCCGTTAAGGATGCAGATTAAAATTGCCGTAAAAATATAATTAATAAAAAAATATTAACTTTACTCCACTCTCGAATATGTATAAATTCGTTCACTATAATATAGTCTCTTATCTACATGATCATTATTGTTATCTTCAAAAACAGAATCACCGTCATCTTAATTTAAGTCCTTCTGCTCACTCTTGAAACTAGTTAAGGTAATATCAATTATCATTTTACACTATCTTTATATATATAATTCTACTGTACGAGTGTATGTCACTGAACTCCTCCGGCTGGACCGATTTTACTCAAAATTTTTGTGTGTCTTCAGGTCGATTCGAGAATGGTTTAGATTCACAATTCGGTCCACCACATTTCATTTCTAAGTTGTCGAATTTAATTCGTGTGTACAGGACTACAGGAGCCGTGATAGCTCAGAATCCGGGCGCTCGCCTTTAATTAAATATACTCGAGCAACCTGAGTTCGATCCCCGGTGCCGGCACCAATGAAGTTTTTAACTTTAAGTGCTGACTTCTCACGTGCTCCGCGGTGAAGGAAAACATCGTGAGGAAACCTGCATATTTTCGTAATAATAACAAAAAAATATATATTTCGAAGATATGTGAAGTCCGCCAATCCGCAGTGGGGCCGCGTGGTGGACTATGCCCTGATACCCTCTGTATAGAGGAGGCCTTTGCCCAGCAGTGGGACATGTATAGGCTGTTACTTTACTTACAGGACTAAATTTGTCCGGTCCGCTAGTTTTTAATAAAGTAAAACTTTAGATATTAGATTCTGATTTTAATTTCATTATGCTTTAATAATTAAATTACAATCAGAAATGTAATTGATAACTCTTTCGTCCTGCTAAGCGCCTGATATTGTTTAATTGACGGTCATTTAGGGACACGCCCATCGCATGACGTGATTCGGTCCGCCCGACAATCTTCTGGCCAACTCGAATTGAATTAAACGATGTCACATTTAGTTCGTGTCCGTAAGCACTTTCGTGTCGACACGTAACGAGTTAAAACTATCATTTACGTTTTTTTTACTAGACCATTCATCTCAAACAATTAAAGAGAACGACTAACGCCCGGTTTCTGAGACACTGATCAACGTTGACGTCAACTAATCAGCTGTTAAATGGCTTTTCAAATGCTATTTGAGTTGCCAAAGGGATTAAATAGTAAATGTAATATAGTAACATCGACATTTTTTTCTCTAAAACTCCAGCATAATTCGCCACCTCTTGTATTTACACTAAGAGCAGGGTTTCACTTATTGTTGCATTATCTCTTCAGTTGATCGCAGGACTTACTTTATGCTTATCAGAGATTTAGGAATTCAATACAACAATGTTACCATTCTATCAATCATATTCTTCCTCTTGCCTTTATTCTACGCCTGTGGTCGCCAAAATAATGTCCACATTAGTTAGATCGGATGAATATTTTTCCTTCCTTACCGTTACTTCGTTCAAAATGCCGGTTCCGTTAGTCAGAGTTGTACAACGACTATGTCGAAATATGTCGTATCGTAAGTAACACACATTAGTGATGATAACTCATTTTGTATGCATCGATTTAGTTTTATATAAATCGGAAGGAATAAAATAATTCTAGTACATATCACGCTACACTTTTTATGTAGATAGTTTTGGACATTGTAAATAAATAAACGTGATGAAGCAAATTAGTATGCTATGTTTCCATACAGCGCATGTCTTTAAAATTTTTAGTCTTCGTATAGCCCTAAAGAATTTATACATTAAAATTTTTATATTGTTCTTACCGATAATTATTAACATATTTTGAGCTTTATTGTAAATGTCTAAGGTTGGTTTTTAATTCATTGAATAAAAACACCGCATGCTAAAACAAGCTACGTGAGCCGTTTGTAAGCTCGTTCCCCAATGGCGGTTACGTGACCGATTATGCATTCTCTTAATTTGCTTTTCGAAGCGGATTTTTAAAAGCCTGTTATTATATCTTTGCTATTTCGGGTCTGCACATTTAGTATAAAGATCGACAACATGATTAGGAATGTGTCTGTGTATACTCGTGTCGTTTTTTTTTTGTTTTTTCCGTTGCTATGCAAAAAATGTAAATGAGAGTTAAAGCATTTGTTTTAAGTGAGATTTTAAGTTTTTCTTTATATGAGAAGGTAGCCAGCAAGCAGGCGGTTCACCTGATGTTTAGTGATAAACATCGCCCATGGACATTTGCAACACCCGTAGGGTTGCCGATGCGTCGCCCCTTTTAATAAGTGGGCCATGGCTACCTCACTTATTAGACGTAACGCAGAGGTATAACACTTCCAATTCACGCCAGGCCTTCTGTGAGGTTGTTTTATTTACCCAGGCGGACCTGCCCATTCGTGCAACATCCGAAGCTGTTGTTTTGAGTGGCCCTACCACAGTTAAAGCTGAAATTTCTATTCAGCGTAGGACCCTGGTAGCGGTTATAGACCAAACTTAGTGAAAAATGTATAACTTTAACGATCTTACGCCCGGTTTCTGAAACACTGATCGTAGAAATTAACTAATCAGCTGTCAAAAGGCTTGCCTAATGTCATTTGAGTTGCCAAAAGGATGGTTAAACTTTTATTTTTATTTTTTATTGATCATTCAGATCTTTAAGAAGTTCACTCTTTTCTTTTTTTGAAGACATACCTTTTTTGGCGTTAGGGAAAAATTATGAGAGTAAATTTCAAGGATGCGCGCGTTCACCGTCACGAAAAACCGACGCCCTGAAATTTGCCAGACATCTATGTATGTTTGCGTGAGAACTTACAACTGTATTCACGATATTTATTTTGTGATATTTAAATAAAATTTATTTAACTAGATTATGCGTTATAATAAAACTTTCAATGTACCTTTTTTCTATAGTGTTGTTTTTTTCTAAAAACGGAGAATAAGGCGAAAGATAAAATTTTTGAAAAGATTTTTATTTTGTTACGCCAAAGAGGTATAATTTCTAACGCGTGTACATAAGTACACATACACTTTTTTTCGTTAGTCTATCCAACATAGATTAAAGACATAACACATTGAGTTTTATCGTTTAAAGAAGTCGTAAACGTACCGTTCGATTCTGTTAATGAACCTTTTCAACAATAAACACTGTTCAAACTAAATCTTAATCTTTAGCATTTTGTGGCCAGTGCTTGTCTAAATCGACAGATCATCTCGATTCTCGGTCTTTCATGCCTCTTTTAGTTTTATTATCCGCCAAGTATTGTATTTGCAGTTCGTCGAAAACCTCCCAAGTGATTCATAACATTCGCACGGTGCTGCCATTCACGTCGGACAGTTTACGCGGAATCACTTTCGGTCGATGTTTTCGCATTCGAGTTTGCATAGCGCCGACCAACTTGTCGAATTATTATGTACGGAGCGTACCACTAGAGGTACGAGCGAAAACTTGTACGAAAAATATCTGACGGCAAATGTACTCGTATATAGTAAATATATCTGTACAGTATTTAAACAGCTGGAATCACTACAAAACCTCAGTAGCTGGGACTACAACTTGAGTGTGTAGTCACGAATATAACGTGGCCCTACTAACGCGACCATAACGCACATATAGAAAATAATTTTTAAAATTGTATTAAACATAGTTTTACCGGATTATTTAATTTTTCAAAACAAATAATTTTAGACAAACTTTACGTATAAATCTGTAACGTAAAGTTCATTTGTAAAGGTCACAAAGCATATGAATTGGTTGAATGAATTTAAAAGAGATAAAACATACTGTTAGAAGGATAGACTTGTAATGAGACTGTGGCAATGAATGAAAAAAGTTTCTAAATATGAATCAGTCAGTTGTAGTTGTGGGAGATGATACAAATTTTGTTTCTTCTTTAATTAGTTTGTTTGGAAATTATGTCTTTTTAATTAGGGATTTTTAACGTTTATATTATATTGTTTATATGATTATTGGTAAAAAGCTTTTGAAGTGTGTACATTTGTTGTCGTGCTTGTAACGCCATCCTGTATATGACTATAGATATTCGTGACTACCTACATACTGTGACCTGGGAGAGGTTATTTATGTTTTAGAAAACTATTTTTTTTTATTCTATTATAATATGTACAACGATAAACAATATAATAATATGTACAACTATTATAATATGTACAACGTGTTTAACACATGAGCCACTTCTTGCTAACTTGGTATTTTTACCGCTTGAGTTAATTCATGAATGGATACGTGCAAATTTGGCCATGTTTGTATTTAATAATAACGTTATCCCTTGGGTGGTGTACCAGTTAACGTTTTATAACCTTTAAAAGGGCATGACAGATCCTTGTTATGGCTAGTGTAAACAGGTGCAAAAATGGTGATTAGCAATAACACTATGGATTGTATGGGTCGTATTCAAGGAAAAGATAACGTTTGTATAAATTATATTTAGAAGACAAAACATACAGTTTTGATAATTCTTAAATAAATAAGAATTCAAGGCTCAGTTATTTTTTTTAAAAGCATACTTCGTATATGATGCTTGAGTCGATTTTTTTTTGCTCACGAGTGTATAAAGTGTAATAATTTAATAATTTCTTAAATAATTTAATATGCACCCATCGGAAATATATTAAACTTTGCTACTTTTATTGGTATACCTAACCAGCTAAATTGTTTTATTTCATCTTTAGTTTTTGCGCGGCATGTATATATAGTAGTATATAGTATCTGTGGTAATATCAAATTGCAATTAAAAACTAGTCGCTGTACTCGATCAAGCGCCACCACTCATATTTTAAGTAATAAACTACCGGTAAAAGTGGTTCTGCCTTTCATGCGAGAATCAAAGCCACATTTAATATTGGCTTTCAGAACGAAACGTCTATATATGTACGATTTAACTGTGGTAGCACCACGCATCAGTTTGCACGAATGCGCAGGTCCGTCCGGGTAAGTACCTCGACCTCCCAGAAGACCGTCGTGAAGTAGAAGTATTATACTTCTGCGTTTCGTCTGGTGAATGAGGTAGCCGGGGCCCATTTTATTATACGGTGGCAACGCATTTGCAACCCTATGTGTGTTGCAAAAGTTAATGGGCGGTGGTTACCACTTAACATCAGGTGAACTGGCCAACCCGAATGTCACCTTCTCGTATTAAAAAAATGTAGTTTTGTTTTCACACTCTTTACAATGTCCAATTTGATCTGGAGGTGCCACTCAGCGGCATCGGATGCTGTATGAGTACGCTTGTTCGATCCGGAACGTGGCCGCAAACAAGATCTGTGCAAAATTTAAATAGCAGTGGTTGTTTTTGTGTCTCGTTGAGAAACCCACATTCTTAAAGGTCCGCAAGGGACCTGCAACACCCCTAGTGTTGTCGGTATGCTTGGTTGACATTCATCACTCGCCGAGAGAAGAAACGCTTTCACGTCTACTAATTCTGATAAAAAATTTAAATGAAGATTGTGATGAGAGAGATGAGATGCATTTGTGTCAATGCCCTTACAGGAAATTAGGCCTGGAGCTGGTGCCACGACGCGGTGCCGAAGCGGTCGAGCCAGAAGATATAAGCCTCGTGGAGCTCTACAGAGTACACGTCGAGAGCGCGGAAAGGGCCGCAGCAGTAAGTACGAATGTACGAAACTAATTCTAACCAGCATTTTACCTCCAAAAACGTTTAAGGTTGTTGATAATATTACGAAACGCATAAGCTTGGCTTAGGAGATAAGTCTCACGCCCGGTTACTGAAACACACATCATCGTACATGTCAACTAATCTCATGTCAAATGGCTTTTCAAATTTTATTTTAGTTCCTATAAAAGGATGGTTAAACTCTTTGAATTGACCAGAATGCCTTCTTAATAACCAAGTGATTTGACATTTGAAAGTCCATTTTACAACTGATTAGTTGACATCTACGATGATCAGTGTTTCAGAAAGCGGGCGTTAGTGTCCAGACTTTTCTGATTTTATCACGTCATCCTCCTGCGCTTATCCCAACGGGGTGGGGTCGGCACAACATGACTTATGTTGCAAGTGGTTTTGGCCATGTTTTTTTACGACCATCCGCCTGCCTGACGTCAACCTCCTTGGGAATCAAACACCCAGATCCGGAACAATTATGTGTGGTTCATACAAAACTTGTTCTGTGTCAATTCCACGACCCCGATCCCGAAGTCAATAGCTTAGCAACGGCCCCACCTAGTCACGTAATTCTGTCAAGTCTGATTTTATCAAGTGATATAATAAAAGCTTATCGGAACGAAGCAAATATTACACCAGATGTCACTGGTATGCATTTTAAATCACTGTCTCGCGCTGAACTTTTTATAGCAAGTGAATATATAACTAAGATAAGCTCAGGCGAATTCGAGCTGATGGATACATCGTGGCGGAGGCACTGGATATGTTTTGTTGCTTACTTACTTAGAAAAACTTACACATATAAACTCAATTCGATATAGGTTACGCAGACTTTTCTAACTGTTCATTGACAGGTGACATGTTTGTTATATTCATAAGACTGTGGTGTTGTAAGTATTTGCATACAATAATGCGATTAGGTGCACTTGGTTACCTTAACGTTATCTATAAATTAACATGATATTGCTTATTCATTAGTTTATTTGCGAATCAATGTGTTTTTTCTTTTTGAAGCCATTCATTAACAGTAAAATATATATTATATAAAAGAAAGGTTACTTTTTTACCGGGTGCTGGTATTGAAATAACTTTCTATTCTTTGTTTGTAAGTATTTATTTAGGAAATGGGATATAATTGTACACAAATTTTTATTTTATTTAAAAAGCACAGCGTTTTTAGTAAGTATTTAGACAATTCGATCGTATAAATTAATTCGTATTTGGCTTAAAGTCTCTCGTGATCAGAAGTAATAAGAACTATCGGAATCGGAATACCTCAACGTACGTAGTTTTTTTGGGTCGGTAGACCTTGCATTACCTTTAACGACAAACACATATCGTATTGTATTGCACAGCGAAACGCTTTCTGAAACTCGGTCATCTCAACGAAACCATTTATGGGCGAGTTGCTGACATACTGTAGATCTGGTTTCTGTTCGCCTTATGAGATTTATTAGACGTAATAAAGCTCACAAATTAAAGTCCCAGGGACTTTTCGCTCGATCTAAGAAGGAACCCTCATCAAAAATTAAATTTTAAGTTGTGCAAGCTGTTAAGAAAGCACATTAGTTAACGTCAAGCATTGTTAAAATGTAATGAAATTTTTGGGACATTTATATCTATACATTTTTAAGAGAAAATTATCTGAAGGCCCTTGTGGTTAGTACACTTTAATGCACTCATTCATAAAGTTAGTTAAACTAAACTATTTATTTAAATATTTGCTAAGAAAACTACGCACCATCCTCTCAAGGCTCACTACCACGTCAACACGTGTTTTATTATTACATATAACGTTAATTTAAAAATGAGATCACCAAACGCTGAATAATGAGGATATTACGACACTATTTCACTATGTATTTATTATTTATTGCACCACGAAACCAAGTACCATCACCGCTCCATGAACCGTAATCAAGTGTAATCCATCGGGTGCTTAGATCATTAATTTGACAAGGTCGTTTGAGCACGTTACCCAGAAGGCGAATTTATCGCACTCTCATGTTTCAATATCATATTGAGTTGGGATCGTATGTTTTCCCAGTGGCGCGGCACACTACGCCGCGCCGGCGGCTCCGGGAGCAGCTTCAACTCTGGCACGCTCACGAGCGGCGCCGCCACCGCCACCGCCACCACCGCAACCGCCGCCGTCCAGTCGCACCACCTGATGTGCAGCATGCGCGACTTCGGCCACACCGCCGGCGGCGACGAGGCGGAGCTGCTGCTGTGGCTGCACGACGCCCGCCGCGCCCAGCCGCTCTCCGAGCGCTTCAGGGTCAGGATAGCGCGCGACGGCTTCTCCAACTACGTGGACCGCTTGCACGCGAACAGCACCCTGTTTTCGGTGAGTTCAGCGCTGGATTCGCTCGGTTCCAGACAGATTTTTTTTTTGCAATTTTTACCTAAAGTCTACCAACATTTAGTTGGCCAATGATGTTTAATAATATAAATGACGTATGTCCATATGGCGCGGCGATTAAAAATTGTTCCGCTTTACATTATATGACGGTGGTAGGGCCACGCAGCAGCCTCGGCTGTTTCACGAATGGGCAGGCTCGTCCGGGTAAGTACCACGACCTCACAGAAGACCGGCGTAAAGTGCAAGTATAATACATTCGCGTTTCGTCTGGTGAGTGAGGTGGCCTGAGCCCAATTTTCAAAAGGTTGTCAACGCATCTGCAACTCTCAGATGTAGTAGATTAGCAGATGTCCATGGACGGCGGTATTCACTTAACATCAGGTGAACCGCCTGCTCGCTTGATAAGTTTTCACACATAAAAAAATGACATATCAAGTGAATGTGACAGATGATATAGAAATTATGACACGGAATGAGATAATAGCAGTCTATAGAAATTATACCAATTGGTGTAATTTGATCGCCTCAGTTTCGGTGCGCTAATGTCGTATCTAGCTCGTATATGTTTAGTAGTACCCGGAGGACCGAGCTTTGCTCGGTTTGTATTATATATATACATATACATATATATATATATATACAAATATATATATACAAGAATTGCTCGTTTAAAGGATAAGATAAGATAATATCATTGTAGTAAGCATTAAATTAATACTGCGACAGGAAGTCAGGTCTCGTTGAGTCATCAAGCAAACCACGCGTCCTCAAATATTCATATCATTGTGTGTTAGTACCTCATCAATTTCGTAAAAAAGTCTATTATCATTCCAAAAAATTCTATTATAATTTATATCATCATAACCGGTGTTAGGAATTAGACACAACATTTAGTTTTTATATTCATCATCATCATCATCATGATCATCAGCCGCAAAACATCCACTGTTGAAATAGGCCTCCAATTTGGAACGCCACAACGATGGCATCGGTCCACCTAGAGGAAGGCTTCGAGTCGTTAATCGAGTACTTTTATTCCCCATCGGTAGTCGGTTCTTGGAGAGAAGTCTGTATTTTATTACGAACTAGCTGACTCGGCAAATGTTGTTTTGCCATATAAATTATTTCTAGTGAATCTGAAAACATAGAAAAAGAATTTTCGGAACGCACGCATAAAGTGTTTGACAAGTTACACAGACATAGTTGATAGGTTGACAGGTACAGTTTGTATGGGAAAATAAAATTGTTGCTATTTCGATTTTCCATGCAATATTTCCCATCGTTTGAACCTTCTCTGGACTGCCACAAATATTTCAAAACCAAAATAAGCTAAATAGGTTCTCGAGTTGTAGCGAGATTAACGAACAGCAATTCATTTTTATATATATAGATATTGTATATTCACCTACTGTTAGGTTGATACCGCTGCCCGTGGACTTTACGCAACTGCTTTGGGGTGGCGGATACAAATCGAAATAAACACTACCCGGAAAGCGTATCACCGACTGTGAACAGAAATCGGAACAAGTGGCAAGTTCAATATAGTCAAACTAGCACTGTTTGACCGAAAACGGATTAGTAGATATTATTAGCGAACCTTTATACATTCATTTCACGCCGGTCTTCTTTGAGGTGAAGAAGTAGTCGTAAATTAATAATTATTTAATGCGCGAAAGTGAATGATAATGTCGGTTGGGGACGCCTTAGACCAGCGATATGCAATCGTTTAGACTATACTATACTACTTTTATGGTGTGATCAGATTTGGTGGCTCAGTTGCTAAGCTATTGGCTTTCGGCACCGAGGGTCGTGGGTTCGATTCCCACACGGAACAAGTATTTTTGTGACCCACAGATAATTGTTCCGGTTCTGGGTGTTTGTTCTCAAGGAAAGTTGACGTCAGGCCGACGGCCGGTTGTAAATAATCTAGCCAATACCATTTACAACTCATGATGTGCCGACCCTCCTTGGGGAGGATAAGAGCAGAAGGATTATGATGATGGTGTAGAATGGAGAACTTAAATCGTACTCTATGCACCTGGGTGACAGGCAAGGGAGTCTATATGATGCCTTTTATGGTATACTGAATATTTTAGTTTGTACTCATACAAAAACATTATTAAATCGTTCTACATGCGTAAATTACTATCTTGAATATGTAGAGGTAATAGTAGGTTTATACCTAGGAGGAATATCAGTGGTATCGCTGTTAAATGTTGCTTTTCTTTTTTTGGACTTCTTACGTGTAAATATGCGACGTTTGTGGCCGAAACCCATAAAAATATTCCTGATGAAACTTGAATGACTATATCTGTGCACATCGTTCGGGTAAAATAAAATCTTAATTAAAAAATTAAAACAGTCTCGCAATAGGAAGAGATATAAATCATGTGTCAATACAGGACAATATTATGACACACATATTTAATATATTATTGTTAACAAAAATATGAGTTATCGTCACCATTCTAGTAAAATATATTGTCTATTCTTCGTTTGTTATTTACAAATTATTATGAGGGCTACAATAACGATGTCGTAATACGCATTCGAATTCTCCGTAACATAAAAATAATTTTAATTAAATTTCTTAATGACTAATTTATATTTTCTTTTTACGGTTTCTTGGCTAGTCCTGTGTAGCGGCTATTGCTGTTACCTTGTATATTAAACGTTTGTCTTCTTTATTTGGTGCATGACTTTAAGCAAAATTGAAATGAACTTTAAATTATTTAAGGCATAAAAACATTTTTTCCCAGATTTATACGAAATCCAACAAAACACCTCTTTTTATTTTATCATTGGCGTTTCCCTTTACGCATAAACAGTTATCACTGATGAAGGTCAGGAAAGTGACTCAACGTCGATCACAGTCATTGCTTTGTTTCAACATAATATTCAAATTTGAAATTATATTGAAATGCAGGTTACATTAAAGTAAAAAGTAAAGTAACATCCTATACATGTCCCACTGCTGGGCAAAGGCCTCTTCCACTGCGGATTGGCGAACTTCATATATCTTCGAAATATATATATAGTTTTTTGTTATTATTTCGAAAATATGCAGGTTTCCTCACGATGTTTTCCTTCACAGCGGAGCACGTGATAAGTCAGCACTTAAATAAAGTTAAAAACTTCATTGGTGCCGGCACCAGGGATCGAACTCAGGTTGCTCGAGTATTTATTGAATTAAAGGCGAGCGCCCGGACACTGAGCTATCACGGCTCTATCAGCTTACCTTAATGAGGTTATATTTATGAACATAAACTAAATAGCGTCAAAAATAAGATATGTTCGTGTTAGTTAAAGTGGTTCACCTTATTATAATTGATCGTGGAAACCTGTAGCACTATCTCCGTTGTCTGTGAGACGAACAAACGAGGCGAAAAAGTACAAATGCTTGTTGCATTTGTTGTTACGCCGTCAGTCGAGATTGGGGCCTTAACCAAATCGTCCAATCGATTCGATATTTAATTAATTAATTAAGGTGAACCGCCAGCTCGTTTGCCACTTTTGCCACACAATCGGAACGAGGCCTTATCTGTGCGGTCTTTTGTGCGTTCGTGAATGTATCAAAACCCAAAATGTTTTTTTATTTAGTGAAAATGGCAAGCGAGCTAATGATCATCTCATGTTAAGTGACAACCGCTGCCGATGGGCATATGCGACATCCGTAGGCTTGCATTTACTTTCCTTTTTTTAGAAAACTATTAAGGACTACTAGTTATAGGAAAATATCACTCTGTGTTGGAATGAATGAATGAATGAATGAATGAATGAATGAATGAATGAATGAATATTTATTTATTTAGTTTCAACAACAAACACAGTTATGTTAACAATTAAAAGAATATATATCTAAGACATGAAACCAAACAGGTATGTACTCGGTACGATTTCCCGATTGAATGACGCTTTACACATTATAGTTCTCCTTTGTGGAAATCGAACTCACGACCTCCGGCATAAGGTACTCCTTGGCAACTACGTGGTGCTCACGTCGTCATCACACATTAACCACAGCGTTTGCCAAAACTGATAAGTTTTCTTACTGGACCCGCCCATTCGTGCGTTCGTCCGACCGGGTAAGTACCACAACGACACAGAAGACCGGCGTGAAGTGGAAGTGTTATATTTCTGCGTTTTGTCTGGTGCGTCACTTAGCCGGGGCCCACTACTAAAAGGTGGCAACGCATTCGAAACTATAGGGGTATTGTAAATGACCATGGCGGTTAACACTTCCCATCACTTCAGAACCAGCTCGTTAGCCACCTTCTCACATAAAAAAATCACATTTACAAACACCCAGAGGCGAAACAATGATCTTTGTGTCACTACAGTGGTCCCGTGTGGCAATTGAAACCACAACACCACCGAATCATCACTTATCACCGCCCATCGCTGGCCGCGGTGGATAAGTTTGCTAACGTGATTGTGGCGACAGGACCTCTCCAGCACGGACCTGTCGCGCGAGCTGTGGCTCGTGGCGTGGGTGGTGCGCGTCGGTCGATGGGCGGGCGCCGGCTGCGGCACCGCCGAGCGTAGAGGTCCGGTGGCGCGTCGGCCCCTCGGCGCTGGGGTGCTGCCCCTCGCCGAGTTCCTGCGCCAGCCCGCTCAACACCCCGCCGAGAGGGAGTACACCTTCAAGGTGGGACCAACGCTTGCTCTTGATTTATATATGACGAACAAAGTACACACCTAACAGAATGAGTATACGAGATTTCGTTGTCCCTCGCTGAGTTCCTGCGCCAGCCCGCTCAATACCCCGCCGAGAGGGAGTACACCTTCAAGGTGGGACCAACGCTTGCTCTTGATTTATATATGACGAACAAAGTACACACCCTAACAGAATGAGTATACGAGATTTCGTTGTCCCTCTGATTTTCCTGCGCCAGCCCGCTCAAACACCCCGCCGAGAGGGAGTACACCTTCAAGGTGGGACGAACGCTTGCTCTTGATTTATATATGACACCACAACAGAATGAGTATACGAGATTTCGTTGTCCCTCGCTGAGTTCCTGCGCCAGCCCGCTCAATACCCCGCCGAGAGGGAGTACACCTTCAAGGTGGGACCAATCGGCGAGGGGGAGTACACCTTCAAGGTGGGACCAACGCTTGCTCTTGATTTATATATGACGAACAAAGTACACACCTAACAGAATGAGTATACGAGATTTCGTTGTCCCTCGCTAAGTTCCTGCGCCAGCCCGCTCAATACCCCGCCGAGAGGGAGTACACCTTCAAGGTGGGAACAACGCTTGGTCTTGACTTATATATTTATATATCACGAATAAAGTACACACCTAACAGAATGAGTATACGAGATTTTGTTGTCCCTCGCTGAGTTTCTGTGCCAGCCCGCAAAACATCCCGTCGTTAGGGAGTACGTACACCTTCAAGGTGGGAACAACGCTTGGTCTTGACTTATATATTTATATATCACGAATAAAGTACACACCTAACAGAATGAGTATACGAGATTTTGTTGTCCCTCGCTGAGTTTCTGTGCCAGCCCGCAAAACATCCCGTCGTTAGGGAGTACGTACACCTTCAAGGTGGGACCATCGATTGCAGCTCGTGATTTATTTATCACCAACAAATATCAAACCTAACAGAATGAGTATACGAGATTCGTCTGCCCCTCGCTGACTTCGTCCGTTAGCAACTCGTGTTTTTTTTAAATTTAAATTGATCAAGACAATCAAATAAACAATGAATATTCGAGGTGAAACCGACTCTGTATCAGGCAGTGGAGACCCACTCAACAAAACTTCGACTGATGGTAAGCTATGCGGTAGTTTATTGTCAATGTGTCAGTAAAAGCCTGCATTATGCGTGTTAATAATCAACGAAGTAAAAAAATGCTGGGTTGCAGCTCTTCAGAATTAAAAATAATCGGTTTTTTTTTTTTCAAAGTCCAACCGTTTCCAGCCCTTTATAATGGAATAAACTTTATAAAAAAAAATTAGGGACGATGATATCTATAATATTGATTTATTGTTAGTATTAGCGTAAATAAAAGACATCGTTATTTTTTTTACGTTTCAGGTATACCAATGTGAAGAGAAAGATTTTCACCAACTACACGACATGCTAATACGCAAACAAACGAACAAGTGCAACATATTACCGGGGCAGCCTAATTATGGTGAGCATCGCAGTAATTTTTATTATTTAATATTCAAAATCTCAGTGTCTATATTTGAAAAAACCTTAGACTGGCAGAATGTCCAAATTATTTTTTTCTACTTTTGTGACAATCAGTCCTTTAGCTTAGCGGTTTAAAGGTCTGTGCGCGAATTCTGTTTCAATGAAACTGAATGTTTCATCATAAGCGCAGAGATTAGCGCTGTAAAAATAAAAAAAATATATTTCTCCTTTCAGGAATCGTGGTGGCGCTCAGGTTGCTCACGAACGCCGCCAGCATATCGGAGGCGGTCGGCTCCGGGGCAACGGTGACGCCGAAGCGGGGCTTCCCCGACGTCATAATGCCGGGCGACGTCCGCAACGACCTCTACCTGACCCTCGAGAGGGCGGAGTTCGAGAGGGGCGGCAAGAGCACCGCGAAGAACGTCCTCGCCACAGTCAGCGTCCACGACGACACGGGGCTCGTGATCAACGTGAGTGCGGTGCTTTCCCGATAGGAATTCCATGAACATAATTATTTAAACGGTGGTAGGGCCACGCAGCAGCCTCGGCTGTTGCACGAATGGGCAGGCCCGTCCGGATTAGTACCACGACCTTACAGAAGACCAGCGTAAAGTGGAAGTATGACAAATATTTTCGCGTTTCGTCTGGTGAGTGAGGTAGCCGGAGCCCAATTTTCAAAAGGTTGTCAACGCATCTGTAACCCTCGGGTGTGGCAGTTGTCCATGGACGGCGGTATTCACTTAACACCAGGTGAACCGTCTGCTCGTTTGACAAATTTTCGCATAAAAAAAACATAATTATTTGCTAGAACGGGTCGAAAAAGCCCTGTCGGTCTTTAGGTGTAAGATATTAGTATTGAGAGAACAAAGCGCTACCGGCGGCGACGCAGGATTGCTTCTTGAATGTCCTTCGGTCGTGTTATTCCATTAATACCGCTTTTGCATAGCGAATAACATCAATAATATCATCTTCATCATTGCGATCCGCTATTTGTCCATTGCGCTGTTTTTCTGTATAAGGTCATCGCTCGAGAACATTTCCACGAACGATGTTGCTTCTTCGAGCATCGAGAATGCCACTTCAAATTGCGGATTCTGCTTTACAAGTCCACTAAAATTGATGATCACTCTATCTTTATCTTTATCTTTATAATTTACACTTGTATCTTCCGTGAACCCAGTGTACCCTAAGTAGGCCTTTACGGCAAGCAGGGACACCTTAGTCCTTTTTTATAAGACTACAAAGCTGAGCCTTGATCACCTGGCCGAAAGTCTGATACTTTGCTTTGCTCTCACCTAGCCAGCCGAGTGAGTTACTCTAGTCGGTGGCGTAGTGGCCCTCGCTTAGCCAATCAAACCAGTAACCTAGTGCTTGGCGTATTAGCCCTCGCCCAGCCGGCCTTGCGAGTTGCTCTAGTCTCCGGCGTTGTGGCTCTCACCTAGCCAGTCAAACGAGTTACCTAGTGCTTGGCGTATTAGCCCTCACCCAGCCAGCCTTGCGAGTTGCTCTAGTGTCTGGCGTAGTCACCCAGCCAATCGAGTGGGCTACTCTAGTTGCTGGCCTAGTGGTCCTATGGAACCCAGCCACGTGAGCCAGTGCGTCGCGTGTCCCTTAGGAGTGCGTGTGGGGCGCGAGCGGCGCGGGCGCCACGTGCTACGAGTCCCTGGTGCTGTACCACAACAACAGCCCCGCGTGGGGCGAGCAGCTGCGCCTCACCGTCCCCTTGGACGTGTTCACGCACGCGCACGTGCGCATCGAGTTCCGACACTGCTCCAGTGAGTCGTTGTGTTACAACATATATAATACAAAATATTATTACGTTCCAGTAGTCATTTTTAATTTGTATTATTTTTTTATTATAATCTGGCCATTGTATACGAATAATTATGTATGTGAGTTGATTGTGGATTACATTCCCTAATACATCCCTTAAATTGTTCATATGTCGGTATTGTTTTTCTTTTACTTTATTTACCCTAAACTGTTTGCTTTTTGGGGGTATATAAATAAATACGTAAACAAACCTACATTAAAAACAACTTATTGCACAAGCTTATATGCAACCAATGTCAGAAAAAGAAAGAAGTATAATTATTTTGCAATTTATTTTACGGCGTCTCCTAAAGATAAGATACAAAAACGTATCTTGTTCATAAATTGATGAGAAAAAAATTGGAAACTAAAATCATATTTGGTTTTACTGAAACTTACTATTTGGCTTTCCTTTTCTCCTTCTTCCAAAATAGTAATTTGGTGATATGTGGCGTCTGCTGATATAAATGTCACACATTTACAATATTTTATTTTCAGCACGGGATAAAAATGAACGGAAACTTTTCGGTTTCGCCTTCGCAAGACTTATGGAAGCAAGTGGAGCGACACTAAGGGACGGTGCACACGAGCTATATGTTTACAAATGCGACGATCCCTCTAAGTAAGTGTCGATTATGTCATATGGGAATAGATTTATCGCATTTAAGTTGGCCGCGACCTATATTTAGCCGTAATTCAGAATTTTAATTTATTTCGGCAAAAAAAAACGAAAATATTTTGCAAACGCTCTCTTGTAAATTCTTATAAGGTTCAGTTTAGAAGGAGTTAGAAATTAGTTAATGAATCGTTCATATCCATCTCCCATTTTATATGGAGTAGGTTTTTATGTTTTTATAAGCAACTGGGTATGGTAAGTTATTCTCTTCTTACTGTACTTGACTTGCATCCCGTTGACATCTAGATCTGTGGAGGTAGCAGACTCGTTGCCAACCTTCAAAAGTTCACTTTACCAAACTTTAGCAGACGCCACTCAAAAAGGGAATAAATAGTATGGCAATTTTTTTGAAAAACAAACTTGTTTTTATTTAAAGAAGGTCTTGAACTTTCTGTGTAAATTTGGGCACTTTTTGTTAATTCTCCCTGTATAATCTTGTTCATCGCCAACGCTATGTCACAAGCCTAACGTATGACAAGTCATTAGCCAGACATATGAAAGTCATTAATTAGCCTGGCGTATGAAAAGTAATTATCCTGACGTATGATACGTTATTAACCTGACCTTTGACACGTTATTGGCCTGGCGTATGACCAGTCATTAGCTTGACGTATAAAAAGTCATCAGCCTGGCGTATGACTAGTGACGGGTCGCGGTGCGCTTGTTAGGCTGCAGGGCGGCGGCTACCTGGCGCTGGCCTCCTGCGCCGGCGACACCGCCCGCGCCCCGGCCAACGGCCAGCTGCCCACCTTCCAGCGCAGCTCCAAGGAGAACTGCACCATCAGCACCCTGCTATGCTCGACCAAGCTCACGCAGAACGGTGAGTGATTTTGGTGTGGTGGAGAGGGAGGGAATCTTTACGACGCGCGCGCATGACACTATATTAACTAAAAGACGTTAGTCGATAAATCTCCCTTTAATAATATGTGTAAAATTAAATATCTTTTTTCGGAGTTACTTGTACGCAAAAGTGTACAACTTTATTTGCGTACATATGTACAGACACACATTTTAATACATATATCGATACATACTTTTACAACTACACAATCTAATCCCAAACTCGACAAAGCTATTATGGGTATAAAATTGTATACCTAATTGTGTTTATGAGTAACCTACTGATAAACATGATTCTTCTACAATCTTCAGAATACTTGTTCGGATTTACGCAACCGAACAGCGACATTGTCACTTTGTGCATCATAGGCACATTACACTAACGTACATATATACGTTTCATGCCTAATTGAAGGCAGTACGCGCCTCGCCACCGTCCAACCATAACCATACTATTTATTTATACTGCGTATTCTTTATACCATTTATACCATATATAAGTGTTAATAAACCATTTACTAGAATATTCATAAACTCTCTCCCTCTACAACCTTCTTCAATACTGTATCATGTTTTTAAAACTCAACATACACTTATATTATGTTGTTATTGGCCGTGAAATCAAATCAGATTATTCAATTAAGACTTACATATGAATTTAAAGTGCTGGTATTTAATATCGAATTCGTCGATCGTATTCGAACCCCGCGCCCCGTTTCGCAGAGGACCTGCTGGCGCTGCTGCAGTGGCGCGCGCGGCCCGAGAAGGTGCAGGAGACCCTGCTGCGGGTGCTGCGCCTCGGCGACGGCATCAGCTGCGAGGAGCTCATCAAGTTCCTGCGGGACGTGCTGGACGCGCTATTCGCGCTATTCTCCACTGAGGACGGCAACAGGTCGGCCAGCCCTATTCGAAACTAGTTAATCGTTGAAAGCAATGTTTATCTGAACGGACGACGGCAACAGGTCCGCAGTGGACCTTATTTGGACCTAGTTCATCGTTGAAAGCAATGCTTGGTGCGCCTACCGTTATGCCCTTTACAGCGCACGAACGGTTACAAATAACGCTTTTGAATCAATGCATGTCAAATATCCACGTTGAGATTTTCGTCGGCGTGAAAATCAGCTGTTTAGCTTAGAGCTGATGATTATATCAATGACTTCAAATTTTGATATAAATAGCTGTTTGTGACTGTAACTACTCATAATGTCTTTACTAGTTTATTAAAGAACTCTTTCGTTTTTTAGACAGTAACTCTTAAGGAAGTGTTTGTTTTTTCAGCACACCACACTCTGGAACGGTATTTCTGGTGCTAGTATCTATATGCAGTCTGCTGGATGAAAGCCGATTCCAGCATTTTAGACCTGTTTTGGATGTGTACATTGAGGAGCATTTTTCCGCTGCCTTGGTTTACAAGTGAGTATATTTTCTTATTATTCTGAGTACGTAAAATCGATTTCTTGATGCGCTTACGCTATACATAGCTAAAGTCCAATCGTGTGTGGAGTACTGTTGCCATATCTGGGCTGGGCCTGCAAAATGCCATCTGGCTGCCTTGGACTCAATGGAGAGACGTGCGGAAAGGCTTATTGGTGACCGTAACTTGGCTAGAACCAACCTTACTAGCCTTGAGCACAGGCGCAAAGTAGCCAGCCTCTCGGTCTTCTATTTCTAGAGGATGCATTTTGGAGAGTGTGCGTTGGAGTTGCATGATTTGGTTCCTCCTGCCCCTTTCCATCATCGGACAACTAGGCGTTCGGCGAGACTCCACCCTTATGCTGTCGACGTTCCCAAAACAAGAACCAAGCGATTTGCTTCATCATTTATCATCCGTATAGCTAAGGAATGGAACAACCTGCCGGCGTCCATCTTTCCGTCCGATTATAATGTAGGCGTCTTCAAGGCAAGAGTGAATAGGTTTTTACTGAGCTAGCGCGCTTACCATCAAAGGCTGCATCGCCACTTACCATCAGGTGGGATGGCAGTCAAGTGCTGGCCAGATGCAAATAAAAAAAAGATATAATCATTCATATTAGAGAAGAATATTTTGTGATGTTTTTACACATTTTTTGAGTAAAATTAATAAGATAGAAGCATGATATTGTATCTTACTAAATGAATGACTAATAGATCTTAATAAAACAAATCCATGTAACTTGTATAGTTTGGTTGCGAAATTATGTAAGTTAATGAATTTAATTGTTTCCATAATTTTCATTCCATGTTACATATATTTTATTATATTTCGACATTCTTGCAAATATTTATTTATTAGCCAAAATCCTAAAGGAGTTTTAATTTACTAAAATTTTCATTATTCGTATTATATTATAAAGAATTTCTTTGCATAATTTCGAAGATAATAGAAATTTAACATGGAAAAGATATATTTTAAAGTTCGTTGAAATTAATTATGTACATAGAGCATGGTAAAATGCAAAAGAAAAAAAGTAGCTATAGGAATAATGCGTGATGACTACGAGTGTCCTTGCGATGCGCAGGGGCCTGCTGTCGTCGGTGCAGCACTGCGCGGAGTGGGCGGCGGGCGCGGAGGGCCAGGAGCCGATCCGCAAGTGCCTGCGCTCGCTGGGCGCCGTGTTCCGGCTGGCGGTGCGCTCGCGGCGGCTGTTCGCGCGCGCCACCGGCGGCCAGTACGAGGAGAGCTTCCGCCGCGACGTGCGCGCCGCGCTGCACGCGCTGCGCTCGCTCGCCCACCACCCGCACAGGGACCACCTGGCGCCCGCGCAGGTCTATCTCTCACGTGACCTCTTCACTCTCATCCTCAGACCTTCTTTCGGATCATCGGTGCCGCGTGACCTCTTCCTGATCCCGCACTCGTTACGAGTTCGCTTGCCGCTCTGTCAAATGACCGTCTACCGAGTCACAGCGGTATCGCGTGACCTAAATCTCATCCTCCGCTTGATACGCGTTCGCTCGACAATCTTATCTCGTGACCGTCTGCCGAGTCAAAGCGGTATCGCGTGACTTGTCTCTTATCTCTCATCGTCTGGATATGCAGAAATGGCCTTCGCCTGTCAGTGCGACGTGTATAGACTCTATGGGGCTGTAAAAGTGTAAATACTTTCACTTCACGATGGGGTCTTGTAAGGCTCGATCGACTAGGCCTGCATATACTCCAGCTGTCTGTCGGAAATGATGACCAAATGGTAACACTGGGTTTACGTTCGTCGGCATGGGGGCTCTAATTGTTCATTTTAGTATACCCGGTAAAGCATGCAATACGATGAGTTGTCGCAAGGCAATAAGGGAAAGGGGAAAGTATATACCTAGCAGAAGTTTTAACTGTGGTAGGGCCTGGCAACAGTTTTCACTGTTGCACGAATGGGATCCGTCCGGGTAGTTACCACGACCGCACAGAAGACCGGCGTAAAGTACAAAGTTTTACACTTCTGCGTTTCGTCTGGTAAGTGAGGTAGCTGGGGCCCACTTTATTTAAAGGTGGCAACGCATTTGCAACCCTCCGAGTGTTGCAAATGTTTATGGGCGGCGGTTATTACTTAACATCAGGTGAACCGCCAGTTCGTTTGCCACTTTTTCACATAAAAAAAAGTTTACTCATTGCATAAAGCACCGGAAAAGGTTCCGTAGGAATTCATAAAACCCGAAGAGTGACAATATCCCTATATTTAAAAATAATATATAACGTTCGGGTTGTTGACCCCTGGGCATGATATTTTGATATTGTCGTTTGGGTGTTTTACATAGTAGGCTGGATTGTCTGCTCCCCAATGTGCTATATATTAGGATATTTATATCCTAATATATAGCATATTATATAAGGATTCCAATCCTTAATAAGCTCGGTGCTACAATACCGAGGTACGATAGATCATTTAAATGTGAGAAGCAAACAATTAAGTTAATCCAAACGATTTGCAACCTCTGAATCCGCTTTGCGAGTTCGATAATTCAGCATGATTTGCGACCCCTAAATCAGCTTTGCGAGTTCGGTAATACAAAATAGTTTGCAACCTCTGACTCGGCTCGCAGGTGGCCTTGATGACGTCATGGGCGAGCGTGGCGAAGGAGGTGGCTTCGGCCCTGGGCCCCGTGGAGGCGGCGCGCGTGACGGCCTCGATGCTGGACGCGGCGGCGGCTAACGCTCCCCCAGCGCTTGCCAAGGCCAGGCTGGTCGCCGCGCAAGAGATACTCAAGGGCCCGCTTGGACAGGACCCGGGTGAGATATATTGGACACATTTATTAACCTCCTACATTTAGATAGACACGATTGTACGTGAGAGTAAAATTTTCACGATACACGCGCACACCGACCCTCAAAAAGCGACATAACACTTGGTAACCAATTCGATTTTGGCATCCAATAACACGAAAACAATAACCTTTTGACATTTACCAGTAATTCAAAGTTATATAAACCGTTATCAATTGCATTTAATGTCTTTACGCTAGAGAACTATTACATCTTGAATGCGTCCATAAGTTCTACACATACTATTTCTTATGCTTAGGGTTTATGTTTCTTCAACTTACGTTAATCATACTTATTTCTTAATGTTGTAGTTTATATTTATTTTACTTTATAGTTCTTTTTTTTTTTTTTAATTTTGCAAATGTTGTATCTTATGTTGGTAATTGAACGTCAGAGGCGCGCAACATTTTGCCAAAGAGCGCGCTAAACCTATCCGGAAGAACCCGCCCATTCGTTCAACATCAGAAGCTGCCACAGTATAACTCAGTAATACGTTGAACGGCAGAGGCGCGCAACATCGTGCTGACGAGCGCGTGCCACCACCTGCGCGTGCACCTGGCGCGGCGCGACGAGCTGGCGCAGTGCGCCGACATGCTGGGCGAGCTGGTGGCGCTGCTCTGGCGGCGGGAGGCGCCCGCGGACGAGCTCGACCCCGACGTGGACGTGCTCTGCCTCAACGCGCTCGACGTGCTCGTCGAGACCGTGCTGCACCTCATCGGCGGCAACTCGCCGGTGCTGGTGAGATCTTGTCACGCTCGATCGCGGTGTGTCAAACCTTAACACGCTCTATTGCGACGCACTGCCCTTGACATGCATCCACAAAAAATTAAGTGTAAATAATTTCCAACATTTTGTAAAAGCCACCTTAATGGATAAGTCCCTAATGTCGAGGAATACATTGAGGACAAGGATGTGTGGAAATGACTCTTGCTCTGCACTAGCATGTCCCCTGGTTCCTGCTAATTTTATACTTAAATACTTTTGAGTTGTTGGTTACGTTTTTTTTTTTTTTTTTTTTTTCATTTTAGTGAAACCTCTCGCAAATCAGTTAATATTTACTAGTGGAAAGTTATTTAATACATAATTGGTGTTAATCCACAGATCTTCTTGAATGTCACATAATTAACCTTCTTAGATTTTTGGATATCTAAATATATATTCGCCAGGGTTCGATGGTGGCCGGTTTGCTGGGGACGATGGAGTTGCTGAAACCGGCGCACTACCAGAGACTGTGGAGTCACCTCGCTCCTCACCCGCATGACCGCAAACCCCTCAAGGATTTCCTGATGCGAGCTTTCCTGGTCTTCAGGCATCTCATTGAACAGGATGTAAGTATCACTACTGTTACACACACTACGTAATAAAGCTAGTGGGCTCGTGATTAGACCGTTTGGTTAGTTTAGTTACCTCACTTGTAGTGTAGTGCGTAACATTTTTCCATTGTAACATATTTCAGTCTTCTTCGCTATCTTTCATTCAAATAATTGTCAATAGATGACATACATTTCTTTTTTTTTTTTTTATGAAAACATTAACTTCATTCTAATTGTCTGTCAATAGCGGCAAACGTAATCCTTAAAATGATGTTTGAATCATTAAATTTAATAAATATTCTGAGAAATATTATAATGCTTTAATACTATTTAGTGTAATGTATTTAAAACCGTAAAAATGACGAAGGAACTAGTACTAATAGACTGGAAGAATCATAATTAACTCTCCAAAGTATGCTTCTTAACAAATTATAAATTATTATTTGTATTTATTTGATGTTGGTTGTTTATTTAGTATAATACTTTTCAGGTGTTCCCATCAGACTGGATGGTTTTACGTGTCCAAAGCTGCAAAGTACTGCTATCGGCGTTGCAAGATTTGGCTAAACCATTGCTGGAAAGGTTCATGGGGGAGGAACCTCCACAATTCGACACACAGGTTAGTACAGCAGTACAAATAATAAATGAATGATTAAATTGAAATGTGCAAGTTAAAGAATACTACATGACAAAAGTAAACACTTTTATGCAATGTCTGTGAAATTTTACAATATTATTATTGCTTTTATTATATATAACAAGGTAGGAGGGGAATTATGCAAGAGCATGCAAGTGCTGTGTTGGCTTTGCTTAATTGCCTTATTACCTTATTACACTTATAACTTAAAGGATTACACACACTACTTACACACATACACAGGAGAATATCCAGGGTTGAAACATTTTTTTTTTATGTGAAAATTTTCCAGCAAGTAGGCGATTCACCCGATATTATAAACTGTTTTATAGAATTATTTAATATTTTATCCAGTTTGGAGAAACCTTAAAAAAAATTCCTAGTCAGTACTACAACATCACACAAATAAAACAATAATTCTTAGTAGGATTTAAGATATAAATAATTAAGGGCATGGACTATGTCTCCCAAATACAGGTTGCTATGTAACCTAAATAGGAGGGCGGCACCCACCATTTCAAAAATTGAGCATTTGTATTGTATTCATTTTTATTTTGTAATTTAAAAAAAACCACTGCATTAATAAATAAACATTATATCCGTCCTTCGATCACAGCGCTATCCGGATTTTGCTTGGCAGTGGATTCACTCTTAAACATTAGAATGCTGTCTAGTTTTGGACAAAAATGCGAACAAAAAGTGTCTGGATAATCTTTAATTTATTTGGCATTTTACTTCACAATGAAAATCAATATAAAAATAGTTGAGAGTGATGTTGACCGTTACAAAGTTGAATGATGTGTGACAGGCTATTATGACAGGTTGTTTAAGTATGATTTCCTTAACAAAGTATTGAAGCATCGCTCATAGATACAATGTAATTGCTTATTAAAAATGTTAGGCGCAAATAAATACAAACTAACATTTCTGTTTCCGTTGCAGCTGTGGTCGGGTTACCTGGAGCTGGGTGTGGCGCTGGTTACGTGTCGTGCGCTGCAATGGGAACGGTGCGACGGCAGGGGGCCCGACCGGCCGCGGATGCGGGCCGCCGCCGGCCTCCAAGTGCTGGCCGTGTGGAGTCGTCTCGGTGGGTTTGCAATAACAGCTGTGACGTGATTCATCAAATGCTGGTTGATATCGAGATAAAGACTGTTTCAATACACTTACAAATATGTTAGTATAGTTCAAGAACAAAAATATCGAAGACAGAAGTAAGAGGTTTGCTCGACGCTGATACTTCTCGCTCATCAAATTTCCCATGTAATTTATACCTCTTGCGGATTGCTACAGTATTTCTCAAATAAAGTACTGAATGTTTCACGCTTTTTCATTTCATCAGACTCGCTAGATTTTCAAAACGTAAAACTTGTTTAGTATCCAGTAGTAGTAGTAGTAGTAGTCTGTAAGTATCAAACAATTCAAGAAATCACCGACGGCCAGCGTCGAATAGGCACAGTCGACTGTGAGCTCTATTGCCGCGGTGCTAAAACGCAATCTGCGTCGCTCAGGGCCGGCGCAGCTGCACCTGATCGGCGTGGCGGTGGGCGCGCTGCTCGAGGTGACGCTGGTGGCGGCGCTGCGGCGCGCGGCGCTCGGTGCTCTGGTGGCGCTGATGGCGGCCGAGCGCGCGGCCACCGGCTCCGCGCGGCGCACCGAGGCGGCGCTCGTCGACAAGCTCGACTCGCTGGTGGCCGACAACAAGGCGGACGAGCACTACCGCCGCCTCTTCGACACCGTGTGAGTGCGCGCGCGGCGCTGTCGGCGGCGTGACGCCCGCGCCCGACGACACCGCTCGCACTGTCGTGAGCGCGCCCGTAGTACAGTCGGCGGCGCCACGTTCGCACCCGACGATACCACTTGCACCGCTGCGAGTGCGCCCGTAGTACAGTCAGCGGCGCCACTTTCGCACCCGATGATACCATTTGCAACGCTGCGATCGGGTCCATAGTACAGTTGGCGCCACGTTCGCAACCGACGATACCATTTGCACTGCTGCGGGCATTTGCGAGCCCATTTGCGAGCGGGTCCGCGATATACTTGGCGGCGCGGCGCTGGTATTGTCTTAGTGCACCGCACAGCGCAGCAGCTTTGCTGTTGCTGGAATGGGCTGGCTCGACCGGTGAAGTACTCCGGACACAGATTGGATATTTTCGGTGGTCTTGAGACTAATGAAGCCAAGACAGAAATGCACTGTTTTAGGCGTCGATACTTTTCGATTTAGTAATAGTAGTTTCGAACAAATCCTTTTATATAAGTAGTACTAACATTGAAAGACCTACGTATATATATTTTATTGGCATTAAAGTTTTTTTAGGTGGTAATGATATGCATGGGTTTAAATAAACAAGGTAAAATTAATAGATAGCATAGGAACAAATATCTCAATGTTGACCTAAGCCTGTCCTAGGTCAACATGGAGGTATTTGGGTGCAGTCTTATGGAATAATGCTCTCATGGCCATTTTTCATATAATCATTTTTAATGTTCACGCGGCAGGGAGCATTTGAGTTCAGTGTAAGTACATAGAAAACAAATTGGCTTTATCTCTATTCAACCTTTCCACTCGCACAATACCTTTGTCAAAATTAATGTAGCTGTGGTTGGACTGTTCGTAACTCTCTCGGCTTTCGTTTCGGTGGAACGGTGGCGATGACGTAAGGCCCGCGCTCGGCAGGCTGATGGAGCGCGTGTCGACGGAGGGGTGGCGCGAGGCGGGCGCCGCGTTCGTGGGCTGCGTGACGCGGCTGCTGGAGCGGCTGCTCGACTACCGCGCCGTCATGCAGGGCGCCGAGCACCGCGACAAGCGCATGGCCGCCACCGTCAACCTGCTAGTGAGCGCCTTTGCATTCATTCGTTCGCTCATTCGTTCACTTACTACATTTTAATAGGTTTTTCTTTTCAAACCGAGCACCGCGACAAGCGCATGGCCGCCACCGTCAACCTGCTCGTGAGCGCCTTTTCATTCATTCGTTCACTCATTCGTTCACTTACTACATTTTTATAGTTTTTTTTTAATCGAGCATCATGACAAGTAATGGCCGCCACCGTCAACCAGCTCGTGAGCGCCTTTGCATTCATTTGTTCATCCATTCGTTCACTCATTCGTTCACTTACTACATTTTTGTAGGATTTTTTAAATTGAACATCACGACAATTAGGTGGCCGCCACCGTCCACCTGCTCGTGAGAGTCATTACATTCTCTCGTTCGTTCGCTCATTCATTCGTTCTTTCGTTTAACGTTCAATCGAACATTGATCGTATGGACACTGGAGAGGTAAAATTCACTCCTACGGCTGCTGGAAGAATATTCATTTCGGCTTCTATGACTTGGGCATTTTAATTTGTAGAATAAAATTACTTGTTTAGATTAAGCCTTCGATGAATTATACGACTAGAAAGTTTATTCCTTAGTAAATGTTTTAAAAAGAAATATAAATAACATTTTACTCATGAAGATGAGAGTACAAAGAGATTCGCATCGTCATTTATCATCCGTACGGCTAGGGAATGGAACAAACTGCCGGCGTTTGTCTTCCCATTCGATTATAACGTAGGCGTCTTCAAGGCAAGAGTGCATGCAAGGCTTTTACTGAGCTAGCGCGCTTACCATCCACACCTGCATCGCCATTTACCATCAGGTGGGATGGTAGTCAAGCGCTAGTCAGTTATTTATAAAAAAAATACGATTAAAAACGTTATTATTATTATTCTTTCCAGAATTTCTACAAAAATGAGATAGATCGCAAAGAAATGTACCTGCGATATGTTTATAAACTGCACGATCTTCATATAGCATCGGATAACTTTGTAGAAGCCGGATGCACGCTGTTGGTAAGTTTCTAAGCTTTACAATGTTTTTTTATTTTCAATATCATTTTTTTTAATGGATCATTTTGACAAAAATTTTCTCATCATTATGTAATGAAACTCATAAATATAATACTACTAGCTGACCCGGCAAACGTTGTTTTGCCATATAAATTATTTGTAGGGTAGAAAAAAATGATTGGGGTGGACCACCCTTAACATTTAGGGTGATGAAAAACTTGGCCGATATGCACACAAAAATCGGTCGAGCCGTTTCAGAGGAGTTCAGTTACAAACACAGTGACACGAGAATTTTATATATTAGATATATAATTATAAGATAGATAGTATAATTATACATTCAACTCATACCATAATATATGTCGATGTTTGAAGGTCTTTGGGGAGCATTTCTTTAACCTTATAAAGCTCCAAGCAACAGGCTAGGAGAATGAAAATTGCATTATCAAAGAGATATATTTAGTAATTTTATCACATTTATTTCCAGCTTTACGCGGAGACTCTAAGTTGGGAAAGTGATCAGATTGGCGTCGATCCGGAACACCCCGAAGTTGCGGAATGGAAACGAAAAGAAGCGCTTTACAACCAAGTTCTCGAATATTTTGACCGCGGAAAGGTATGTCATTGTTAACCAACATTTTTCTAATCGTAGAGGGAGCGGCGATTGATGCGCAAGAAATCTGGAAGTTTACCGCGTTTGTTTGTAGCTTCGCTAAATTTAGTGTCGTGTTAAGTTGCTACGACAGATCTTAAAGGTATTTAGAAAAAATCTCTCGACTTACCGTCACTATAATTGGAGTATATCATGATGATTGGGTTCTAGATGCTTCGCGAGGAACTTAGAAAAGGACATAGTGAGCCAACTTGCAGCTTCTATTAAAAGAGTGTCACTTTCCGTGCTCGATGACAGGGCTGTAGATGCTTAGCAAGGGACTTAAAGGGCTCAGAGCAGTGGACTTTCGACCTACTGCCTCGATAAATAGAGTATCATTTTCAGTGTTCGATGATAGTAAATGCTTCGCGATGGACTTAAAGGGCCCAGCGCAGTCGACTTTCAACCCACTGCCTCGATAAATAGAGTATCATTTTCAGTGCTCGATGATAGTAGATGCTTCCCGATGGACTTGAAGGGCCTAGCGCATTGCACTTTCGACCTACTGCCGATACAAATAGAGTGCCGTTCGCAGTGCTGGGAGAAGGGCCTGCCGCTGCTGCGCGAGCTCGGCGCCCTGTACGAGTCGCAGTGCGACTACGCGCGGCTGGCGCACGTGCTGAGGCGCCACGCGGCCTTCCTCGACTCGGCGCTGGCCCAGCTGCGCCCCGAGCCGGAGTACTTCCGCGTCGGCTTCTACGGCAAGGGCTGCCCGCTCTTCGTGCGGGTGAGGCCCGATTATGTTATACTAGCTTTTCGCCCGCGTCATCGCTCGCGTTGAAGCCCTTAGATAAATGTCTTTCTTTAAAAACTAATATATATATGTTTTTTAAAGTAAGATATTTTCAACCATTTAGAACACTTTTTTCCAATTAAAAAATAGCCTATGTCCTTTCTCAGGCTCTACACTATCTGTGTATCATCTGTCACATTTACTTACTCAATACGTAATGTAAAGCTTAACAATTTTTCAAACGCCGCGCCAAAATAATTGAGTGAGACGCCTGTCGATTCGCAACGTTTACGCGCACACGTTTGTACGTTCGCGTACGCACACGTACACACCCACAACCCTACATAATCTCACAGAACGGACTTAATTATTTTGAAATTGTACTTCTTTTGGTGTGTTTGGGAAAAATAATGAGTGAATTTCTGATTTCATGGTGTTAACATAATATTAATATTTTAATAATAATTAATAATAATAATAATTTATTGTCATTCATTTTAATTATATAAATAATTAATATTGAATATTTAATAATAGTGTACCAATTTACTACATAAATAAATTAATTTAAATAAATAAGTTGATTAAATGTAAATAAATGAATAGAATATAATTTAAATAAAATTTAAATAAATTAATAATAATACATACAATAAATTAATATTAAATATATAATAATAGTATACATGTACACTAGTATCTGTCAATGAAAGATTCCTTCATGGTTTAAAACATCAATTGGACGCCCATTTAATTAGGTACCCGGTCATTAATACAAATATAGAGTCAGCTAAAGAGACTCACGACGAGCTGTGTTTCCACTTACAAGTGATACACGATATACTGTGCCGTTTTAGAATAGTGGTCATAGCGTGGCTCAATTATCTCTCTCCTCCCTTATCTCATCGTTTCTCTATCTCCCCAGGAGATTGATTTTTCCCTCTCTCCTTCCATTGTCTCTTTTCATCATCTCACACCTCGTTCACCCATTCGTTTGAACAGAACAAGCAGTTCGTGTACCGCGGCCTGGACTACGAGCGCATCGGCGCGTTCACTCAGCGCCTGCAAGCGGAGTACGTGGCGGCTCACATCCTCATGAGGAACACGCCGCCCGACGACTCCATCATCGCCGCGGAGGGACAATGTCAGTGAGGTTACGTCTTAAGGCTAAGGTTAAGTGCTCTGCCAAAATAGTCGTTAAAATATGTTTATACTGCTTGCAATTAGATTTGACGGTGGCTACCATACGACTGCCGACATGCTTTGACGTTAATTTAAAATTAGTACTCCTTGATGTGCCCACCGTAGCGTCATCTATCTAACAGCATCGGTCATGCCTACATAAGCCAATATTGATATTGACATCACATTATTGTAACGATACCTTCCACAATTATCTGACGGTATCCTTTGGCGACCCTTTTTTTTTTGGTATCGGGGGGGAAATCTTCAAAAGATACCCTGTCATGATATGACAGAGTTATGTGGGGTCCGTACCCAACCTCGCCGTCTTGCAGCAGCACGAGACCACTTCGTGCTGCTGCCAATCCGTGCCCTCTCTTAGTCGCCTTTTACGATATTCTTTGGCGATCCTGTTGTTCGTTACAACGGCGCCGTTGACGTCATCGGTAACCAATGGCAACTGCCGACGTCGCAATAGCAACGGTTCGGTAACCCGTGGCAAACGGCGGAGCCGTCACGGCAACTGCACAGATGACGTCATCGGTAACTCATAGCAACCGCCGGCGTCGCGATAGCAACTGCCCCGATGACGTCACCCGTAACCCGTGCCACCCCGCCACGCAGACATCCAGATCTGCAACGTGAAGCCGGTGGGCGCGAGGCGCGCGTGGCCCGCCGGCGCGGCGGAGGCGGTGCGCCGCTACTACGCCTGCAACGACGTGGACACGTTCCTCTGCGACCGGCCGCTGCACAAGCCGCCCATCGACAAGGACAACGAGTTCAAGGTCACGCGCGCACAACAGTAGAGTAACACCGCCCCTGTTCCGCCGGTACCGTCCGCAAAACACGCCGCCGCTGTTCACTGTGCGGACGGTACACTAATATGCGACAGCAGTCCGACACATAGTTTGCGTCTGTGTTCAATACGATTATAATGGGATGCTTTTGCTGATCAATAATTGCAATGAAATATAGAGCGAACACTTTACTTTCCTACCTAGTGGTGTATGTCTTATAAGTGTAGGCTTGATTGACCATAATATTATCATGTCTTTTACTAAGGTTAACATGAAAATTACATTTTAGTAATACAAAGTACGAAGATACAAAGTCTTCGAAAATATTATAATAAACCATTACTCACGCAGAGCCTTTGGATTGAACGAACGACGCTAGTAACGGAAAACACGCTGCCCGGAATCCTGAGGTGGTCGGAGGTGATCTCGAGATCTGTAGAAGAAATACCACCGGTTGAGGTAATGATATAAAATCATTATATTTAAGAAATTCTACATTAAATACGACCATCAACATATCTTCGACAATATGTAAGTGTGCACGTAAACCGAAATTGTAATGATAAAGTTTAAAAATGAAATTGAACATTTAAAATCATAATTTATATGTGCAAAGGTAGCGAAGGAGCTGGTTCACCTAATGTTAAGTGATAAACCCACTCATGAATATCTAAAACACCCGTAGGGTCGTTGATCTGTTATTCCACTCGCCAGACGGAATGTAGAACTATAACATTTCCAATTCACTCTGTACACCTTCTGTACACTTCCCCGTACGGGCTTGATGTGGAAGTGTCGTAGTGAAGTAGCAGGAAACCACTTCATTAAAAAGCGGCAAAGCGCCTGCAAGGTTGCGGGTCTTACAAATGTCCATGGGCGGCGGATATCACTTAACAGGTGAACCGACAGCGCTCTGAAGTTAAATATATTCGCAGTTCGCGTGCGAGACGATGGAGGCGACGGAGCGCGAGCTGCGCGGCCTGATCGCGCAGTACACGGCGGAGCCGGGGCAGAACGTGAGCCCGCTGTCGATGCGGCTGCAGGGCACCATAGACGCGAACGTGCAGGGCGGCATCAGCAAGTACGAGCAGGCGTTCCTCGGCGCGGAGTTCGCGCGCTCGGCGGCGCCGCGCGAGCTGGCGGCCGCCGCCCGGCTGCGCCGCCTCGTCGCCTCGCAGCTGGCCGTGGTCGAGGCGGGCCTCGCGCTGCACGCGCGCCTCGCACCCGACGAGGTCAAGCCGCTGCACAGGTACCTCTATGTACACTGCGTGCGCCGCGCACTGTACGACCCGCGTGACCTAGTGTTCTCATCCGAGCCGATTGCAGTCCGTTTAGTTGCGTGCCTGCTTCGCTCGCCGCGCACTGTACCTTCCGCGCGTCCCAGTGCCCTCATCCGAGCCGACTGCAGTTCGTACAGTCGTATGCCTGCTTCGCTCGCAGCGCCCTGTACCTTCCGCCCGTCCTAATTCTCTTATCTGTGCCGACTGTGGCCTGTACAGTCGCGTAACCACTGCATTCGCCGCGCACTGTATTTTCCGTCCGTTCTAATGCTCTCATCCGAGCCGACTGCAGCCCGTATAGTCGTGTGCCTGCTTCGCTCGCCGCGCACTGTACCGCCCCTCTTAGTATTCTCATCTGAACCAACTGCAGCATGTACAGTCGCGTGACCACTGCATTCGCCGCGCTCTGTAACTCCCGCGCATCCTAATGCTCTCATCCGAGCCGACTGCAGCCCGTACAGTCGTGTGAACGCGTTGTCCTCGTCCGAAAGATTGCGGCGTACAAACACGCCCTGCACTGTACCATTAAAATTTGATATTTCAAAAATTTTAAATGTTGTTTGCCGCTATTGACGAATAATGCACAAGTACAATAAAGTTAACGTTTTCATGTAAAAGAATCGTTCAATTTCTTACGTAGATTATAATTATGACTGATGATAATACTATCTGTTGAAAATTTATTTAAATTAAAGATTGCGAATTAAGTACGCTGTGAAACGTTATTGTTCAAAGTGATATCACGATACGGGACAAAAAGTGTACATAATTATGTACATGGTAGGACTACGCAGGAGCCTCGGCTGTTATTAAAAATTTGCCGGTTGCCTCTTTCCAAAGCTCTGTGCAGCAATATTTATCGCCGTACATATTCGTACTTCTACTTTGTACATAAAGTGATGTAACTTTAATCAATGGTTGCAACTCCAATAATTCAATTAAAATCACAGCAAAATGTGCTTAAGCATAATATGAATAATTTTTAAAATTATACCTATAACAAAAAACACAGAAACTGAAAGAGGTAGGCAGGAATAATGGTTTTCATGATTGTGTAATGTATTAGTTTTTGTACATTTTTTTTTCATTTTTTGTTGTTTTAATATTACTTTTCTTTGATAATAGGCGTTTGGTTGAGCGGTTTAATCAACTGAGACAAAGTCTGGGACCAGGATTAGCGCGCGCCAGAAGGCAGCTATCCGAAAGCATCGTCAAGTGAGTACTTTTTTGTTACTTGAGATAAGTCGTGTAGTGGAATATTGAATTGATAAAAAGTATCTATAAATAAATAAATATTTTTAGGACACATTTTTACACAATGTTCTCTAGTCCCAAACTATACTGATAAACATTATGTACTTTTTCTACAAATTTTTAACAAATACACATTTAAACACCCGTACACTAGGTATACATATATATATATATAGACACTAGAAAAACATCAAACAATGTCGTCAATGGGTCGTTTTAAGAAAAAAAAATGATATTAATTGATCCATCTTTTATCTATTACAGTACACCACTACCTCCAGTGCCGGCGTTAGACAAACGATCTCAAAGCATACAACAGAGCGACAATTACTATGAAGAAGGACATCTCTACAATAAACCGATTGTAAGACATACAATTACTTTCTTTAAATAACTTCTTATTGCAATTATTACCCCACTCAGGGTGACCATTAGGATTGAAATAGAATCAATCAGTGCTAATTGTGTCTCTAATCACCGTATTTAATACGTTCGTCTGGGAAATTCATTTTTTTTTATAATGATTTTAGTTGAAATATTGATGAGTTGGGATTTATTGGTTTTTGTGGATCCATTATCTTCGACTGGTAAGTAGTTGCTTGGTTTTGTTCATGCCAGTGGTTGTTTTGTTTACGTATTTCGTGTTCTTATCAATTCGCTTTTATTACAGTGCAAATAATCCCTTAATTAACCATCCTCATAAATTAAACGTTACACCGTTACATTGACATTATATGAATATTTCTTTGTAAAATCTGTGTTTACGTTCACATAGGTTTTACAAAGTAATAGCCTTACTAATATTATAAACGCGAAAGTTTGTATGTAAGGATGGATGTTTGTTACTCATTCACGCAAATACTACTAAATGGATTTTAATGAAAGTACCCGGAGGACCGAGCTTTGCTCGGTTTGTTTTTTTTTTTTTGGTAAATCGTGTGTTCTGGAAATTACATTTAGATACAAATTACTGAGTAATGAAATATGCATAATATTTTTCGATCTTACCGACGTAATAATAAGAAAATATGAACTGATGTTTTTCACAAAAGAACGAACTTTAAAAAAAAGGGAAAAAAGAACAAAATAACAAATCGACAAAAAATTAAAAATAAAGAAAGCAATGATCTGGAATCGAAAAAAAAGTAAAAAACTAAATGTGTAAATGATCGTGATACGAACCACGGCCTTCTGTTTCGTGGCTGTTTATTAGCGGCCGCCCGATTACCGACCGAGCTATTATAACATTTTTTTTTTCGGTGAAATTTACCGTCGTATTCGAATAATATTTTTCATTCCCTGAAAACAGGGATAAAAGGACATTTTCTGAAAATGAAACCTAGCTAGATCGATTTTTCGCCCCCGAATCTACGCAAATACTAAAATTCATGAAAATCGCTGGAGCCGTTTCCGAGATTCCGATTATATATATATATATATATATATATATATATATATATACATACAAGAATTGCTCGTTTAAAGGATAAGTAAAGTAAAGTAAAAGTAAAGTAACAGCCTATACATGTCCCACTGCTGGGCAAAGGCCTCCTCTATAGAGAGGGTATAGTCCACCACGCGGCCCCACTGCGGGTTGGCGGACTTCACATATCTTCGAAATATATATTTTTTGTTATTATTTCGAAAATATGCAGGTTTCCTCACGATGTTTTCCTTCACCGCGGAGCACGTGATAAGTCAGCACTTAAAGTTAAAAACTTCATTGGTGCCGGCACCAGGGATCGAACTCAGGTTGCTCGAGTATATTGAATTAAAGGCGAGCGCCCGGACACTGAGCTATCACGGCTCTTTAAAGGATAAGATTTGACAATAATATAGCTTATACAGCAGAATAAGACAGGCAATAATTTATATACATATTTTATGTACATCTGTCTGTCTGAATGTGACGCCTTCAGCCTATTCTACGCAGATGTAATCACGGGCAGCAGCTAGTATCATTATAAATTGAAGTATTGGAAACCCAATACTTCAATTGATGATGATGGTGATGATGATGAATGAAGGATATTTGACCGTCCACTCCGCCACACAGTACACTCTGGAGGAGTCGGAGCAGCAAAGCGTGGCGGCCAGCGAGGGGCCGGAGGGGCCGGCCAAGGGCGCCCCGCCCCTGCCCAGCAGGCCGCGCTCCGGAGACCCGCGGAGCCCCACGAAGCCCCCACCCGACAACAGCCGGTGCGTACGCTTGCCAAGCCATAGGCATTGTTATACTTTGTAATAAAAGATGAATAATTAATTAATATTCACTTTATTCCGGAAGACGTTGTTACACCTTAAACGCAGAGATGGCAAGAGAGAGTGTTGCCAGTCAACTAAAAGTAACACCCAAAAACTCAAGTTATGACAGGCATTAAGCTAAATTTCGGTATTTACAACTTTTCGCGAAATATAAATTTGTCTATATCTTTTTATCGCGTTGACTCAGTACCTTGATTGTACCCAGTAGGGACTACAGACCGGTTAATCTGATTTAAATTTCAACTTGCTGGGTCCACCCGGTCCTGGGAAAATCGGTGGTGATTATTTACCAATTTTGACTGGGTTTTTATTACTTGTGTAACTGTTCGCTTTGTTGTTGCAATTAAATAAATTTAATTTGTGCATTCTATCACTTATTTAAATCGACATTTTGTATGTTAAAAATGGCAACAAAATTGTTAAGTATAAATTTACATTTATTGATATTATTTAATACACTAATTTTATACTCTAATAAAACATTCAAAGATTAAAATCGCATGACATACATTTTGCTATTTAAAACTGTCAGGCGTCTGGTCACATTTATTTAGCTGCCCAAATGATGTTATCCTTAAAAAATAGTTTCGAATTGATCACGAAATGGTCATAAATGGTCAGTGATTTTGTAGCAATTGATCAATAATTAGACTACAGAGAGTTTAAAATTGTTATGTCTAATTTGGTGGCTTAAATTAATCCTAGAGGTCGGATCAAAAATTATTATAATTGTGCACAAAATTGTCACAATTAGTTAATTGTGATAATTGGACAATGTTATTTACGTTTTAATTAAAAAAATTATTACAAAAAATCTTAAGTTAACTTTTTCTGACAGCCACCTCAAAATTTTGCAATATCAAGAAAAGATGCTGAAAAGTTACGAAATACCTACAATTGGTAAGAAGCTTAAAATCATTGGTACGCAGTATTAATCAGAAGGAGATAAAATTTTCAAGGACTCCCTTTTCATCATAGCACCGCAATTTGATTGAATGAATTGCTTTCGTACATAAAAAGCATTGTTGCAACAGCTATGCCAAAGGTCAGAATATTCAGTCAATTGGCGGAGAGCATTCTCTTTTATATACCAAAATATAGGAGTCAAAGTCAATTAGCTGCCCTTAGCTAATAACTACATAAAAATATAAAACGGTTTTTTTACTAGATAGATTGATTCAAGAGGAAGGTTTATATATAAGGTGTCGGGCTGGGCGGGTTGCTGGTAACTACATAAAAAAGGGACGTATATCAGGGAACTCCTTCAAATCAAATAGAAAATATAATACAAAGATTACTAAAAATGTTTTACTCGTGTTTCAGCGATTCCCTCGAGGAGGAGGTGGAGACGCGCCGCCACAGCCGCGCCTCCTGGAGCGAGCCCGGAGACGCGCCCCCTCTGCCGCCCAGGGTGTCAGGTGAGGTCGCGTTCCGACATATTGGACACAATTTTGCAGACTGAAAAAGACAGAGGTTTTTATTTTTAATTGTGTGTTCGCGGATAACTTCGTCGTTTATGAACCGATTTTGATGGTTCTTTTTTTGTTGGAAAGGAGATAACCCAGATCTAAAGATGGCATCCTTGAGAAATCGAGGGCAATCCTCAAGTCAAAAGTCAAAGTCAAAAAAAAAGTTTGTTAAAAATTATTATTTGCGTATTCCAACGAGATTGGCGCGATTCCTCTGTTAAGCTTTCAACCATCAGCCGTTTAGCTTAGTGGCTAGCGCGTCAGTGTGCGAATCCCGAAGTCGTGGGTTCGATTCCCACAGCGGCGAGAAACTTTTCGTTCCTTTTTTTTTACAAATTTTAATGTTTAATCTTAAGTGCAGAGATTAGCACTATGAAAATTTTAATTTTAATTGTTATACTTTTGTTTTTGAAGCCCATGGCTCGTATATTGTTTGCCGCACTGGATAAATATGTATATCGTATAATAATTCCCATGGATATTAATATTTTGTCCAGGTCTTCGCCAAGCATTGCTAAAAAAGTACTAAAGAAACTTGACAGACTGACGTCGAGATGTTCGCGTGAGGTCGTCGGCCACTTAGCTTAGTTGGATTAAAAATTATATTGTAAAAGTTAAAAGAGACATAATAGCTCAGTGTTCGAGCCAGTTCATATCCCGGTGTCGGTTCATATCACGTGATTAGTGATGAAGAAAAACATCTTGAGGAAAAAATTAAAAACCTGCATATTTTCGAAATCCGCAGGGGGTTCGCGTGGTGGACTATGCCCTCCTAATACCTCTGCACGGAGGAGGCACTTGCCCAGCTGTGGGCCATATAAAGGCTGTTACTTTACTTTATCATTAATGCTGTTAACATGAAGTCCGCCTCTGTACGTATTTTGTGTGCATAAAGTATGAATCCATACTTCCATACTTAATATTATAAATGCGAAAGTAACTCCGTCTGTCCGTCTCGCTTTCACGTCAAAACTACTGAACCGATTTAAATGAAATTTGTTACACAGGTAGTATAGCCTGAGAAAGGACATAGGCTATTTTTTAATTGGAAAGTTTTTTAAAGAAAGATATTTAAGGGCTTCAACGCGAGCGAAGCCGCGGGCGGAAAGCTACTAAACAAATAAATGCTAATAATGCTAATTTAAGATTGAACGATTGTGCGTCGTCGCAGGCGAGAAGCGCTCGTGGGGCGAGGCGCCCGCGGTGCCGCGTCGCTCCGCGCGCAGCGAGCCAGGCGACGAGCGCGACTCGGGCGTGAGCGTGGACGCGCACGCGTACTCCAACGCCGACGACCACCGGCCGCACCACGACGGTACATCCCCTCGCCTCCCGTCCCCCCCCCCCCCCCCCCCCCCCTCTACGGTACTGTACGCACGCCCGATAAGTATTCACGGGCAATGTAACTCCCTCCCACCTTCCCTCCCCCCCATACCATGACACCAGCCCACAGTAACTACCCCGCTCTATATTGTTATTCCTTTTATGTGAGAAGATAGCGAACGAGCTGGCGGTTTACCTGATGTTAAGTGATAAACATTTGCAACACCCATAGCTATGCGATTGTGTGACCGTATAATAAAGTGGGCTCCGGCTACACTCACTCCTCACTCACCAGACGAAACGCAGAAGTGACGATACCTACTGTTTTTGGGAATAAATATGCCGACACTTGTAAGCAACTCTATCGATTTCGCAAGCATTTTTGCGTTGCTCGAGTATATTTAATTAAAATCGGGCGCCGGGACCGATAGAAATCTTCGTTCGTCGATTTGACGAGACGTTGTTCCTCATTCGTATCCACTCCGAAAGAAATCTCCGTTCGTCGATTCGACGACCCTCTGTACCTCATTCGTTCCCACCCCGAAAGAAACGTTCTGTTATATATACTCACTGTAGGTGTACCTCGTCAGCATATCTGTAAGCGCTAGACGCCCCCTGCATTGAAGAGTCGCGCAAAGCGCTGACACTTGCCATACATGCGAGTTGTATTCCGGTCCATTATATTCGGTTCGTCGAAGTGACGGGGCGTCGCTCCTCCGCAGAGCTGGAGCTGACCGTGGAGTCGCTGCGCTACGAGGAGATGATCTCGATGATGTCGGAGCCGCTGCGCGTGGAGGAGGCGGAGTCGCCGCCGCCCATCCCGCCCAAGGGGCTGGGCCACCTGGGCAGCTTCGACTCGGGCCACCACGAGAACGCCGAGTCGCACTGCTAGCCTTAACTGCGTTGCGGACTATACGCGTGCGATAGAAGCCAATTTTACGCGTGCCGTGAGCTGAATCGACCATTTGGGTTTTTCAAATTCTAATTCAAAATATATCTATTCGCATACACGCTCGCGCGGTCTTATGAAACGTCAAAATTTTACACAAAAATTAATACGTTAATAAAATAGTTACCACCGGTTCGGAAAGCAGTTTCCGTCGTGTAGAAACCGGCAAAAACTAAACATTTGCTCTTTTTTTAAAACATTGACATTAAATACATTTTATACACGTTTATATTTTTGCACGGAACTAATAATAACGCGCATTGATGTTTTATGTCTACGCGAATATCATACGTGGTTAAACGAAATTGTTTTATCGCGTTTTAATTTTGATTTTTATATACCTTTGTTCTTGGTCTCTGGACTGATATAAACTTTAAAGTAACAACGCTGAAATCCGTAGAATAGTTTAGTATTTAATAATGCGATTTGATTTTCAAACGACTTGTGAAATTTTTAGCGTGTATTTGAAGTTGATTAAAAGTCTCCAACAGAATCTGTTCCTAACTAATGCATAGGTCAGAAATCACGTTCGGGTTAGAATAACGTGGTAATAAAACATTGCTAAGATTCGCATGTAGGAGGGCGCAAAGGGTACAAAATAAACAGTTTACTCAGAAGTTAACTGATGTATATGTAAAACAAGTACTAAATCCCATTTAAATAAAACGTTGAAATGTAGCTTTTGTGCGCAGAAACTGTTGACGGACAAACTAGATTCACAATAATTAACTTATTGAAAAGCTGCAATTTTTGATAAGTATACTACAATCACTATCGCGCTCATAATTTTTGCGGTATAATTAACGAAATCGTGACGTCACCCACTTCAATCCTCAATTATATTTGCATGGTGTGATTTTATGAATAAGTATCAACGCTATAAAATGCGTAAAATTGGTTTCTGTACAATGTGTACCATTAAAGTTAATGTTAGAAATCTTTACGATAGCTCGACATCTCTTAGCGTTAAACTTATCCAAATCTCAACTTAGAATTTAGCTTTAATAGTTCCGATATTAGATCGAGTTCATTGAGATGATATATATTTGATATATGAAGAGGAACATGCGTAGAAACGTAGTCCGCGCATCGTACGGGAAGTTTAATTTTTCTTCTGGGATGTTTGATTTGTTGTATTCATTACCATTCGCAGTACAATTACGAATTGTGATTTTTTTTTTCAACAAAGCACGCACAAAACAAGCTTCTAATGTTGCCAAGTGATATAGTATTCATAATTTTAAGTGATTGAATTTGACAAAACTAAGCGTTTCCGCAATTAGCGAAACCTTAGCGTACCATGCATATCATTATTTGGCTCGACACTATTATGTATTATATCAATTTGTTATACGTACAAAAAGATCGTAGTTTTGCATTTATCCTTTCGGCATGCCATATATAGAGTTTAATATGTGTTGTATTTTATATTAAACCATCGTGTGGTATTGGCTCTTTTATAGTAGGATCACTTATTGTTGGTAGTGACGTCATACTTGCTTATTATCAAATCATTTGAAATATGAATATTGTCCGCGTATTCTTAGATTAATTAGTGTTATTTATTGTTTACGAAAAAATTGGTCTAAATAATAATTAACTCACCCCAATATGACATCACTATTAACAATGAGCGAGTCTACTTTAGAACGCTTAGTAGTTGTCCACCTCCGTATTATGATGGATGTAGTTAACATTTTTGTAGTGTAATTAGTTGCTGTTAAATAATAACGTGATTTAATTATATAGTTTTAACCTTTAAACTGCAGTACCAAATATGTTTAGTCGTAGTCTTTACGTGTGGAAGCAATTATCTTCAAACCAAATCTATGAAAAACAGATTTGGATCCAAAATCGATGTCGTCTCAACCGCCATCAGTATTCTAATGGAATTTTTGAGATTTAATAAAAATTGTGATAACCGTTCTTTTAACACGAAAGTCATTCCTATTTTAACGTATTAACGAGATCGAAATGAAATATTTTTGCGAAAGATCATTTTAAAATGGAATCGTAAGATGTATTGCGAGATTTATAATTAAATCATAGGAAATATTATTTGCTATAGATTTATTTTTTACTATTTTATTTTTATAGCTTATTTATTAATCTAAGTTGGATTGGTAGTTGTGTTTTGGTGGTGTTGCGAGATACTGGGTTACTTATTCCACATTTTTCCACTTTGCTCAATTTTTTTACCGATCTTCGGCTATACACATAGGTGTAAGTGCCAATGAAATTTAAACTAACTGCAAATGTTGTCTTCTTCATTGTTAATAAAGCGGTTAGTTATAATATATAATTAATTCAACGAGTGATTTTTTTACAAACAGCATTTTTTTTAAGATCTCATAAATGTACTCATATTTCTGAGGGAAATTAATTGAGCTTTTCTCATATTTATTGACCGACGATAAAACGTTTATCCTTTCTGAATTTTATTTCATATTCTTAGCATATGATTTATTCTTATTAATTTTCTCATTTAAAAATACTTTAAACAGCTTTTAATGTAGGTTGAAGGAAGTCTTGATATAATCTTCCAGTAGCTGTGCAATCTTAGTTTAATTTGATCTATGTATGTCTAGAATGTTTGGATCAATCTTGGAACGTTTCTACTGAACTTTATATACCTACTCGTGGCTTCTTTCATGTGCTATAATTATTTAGATAGGCAAAAATCATAATATTGAGTTCGATTCTCAAGTGTCCGATTGCAGAATGCATTATTTTTATGAAATGTGTTTCCATCAACAAAAAATTCATATAATATATGACTACTACATCATTTTTTTATGATTCCGACTGATAAATCTTTTCTAAATCGCAGTTTGTTGAAAATTTTAACAAATACAATTTAAAATTAAGATTATATGAGATACACGACAGTCATAACGGTTGTTCTTCCGGCGACTGTCATTCATCCAAGTCTTTCCAATAATGAAGTGATATTTTCATATTAAACAGAACCGTAGCTTTTGTAACTGTAGCTCTTAAGCCGTAGTTGTTAAGGCCGCGTTTCCAACGAACAGTTTCATCAGAAAATTTGTACGTTTTTCGATAAGTGATTTTTACTCGTATTATTGTATTCTCGACTAATCTTTATATGGCTCGTTTATACATCTGTATTTTACATATTGTACGTTATATTAACGTGTTAATTTTCAATGGAGACACTATTTTTGGTGACCGATTTCGAGGAATGTTCGAATTTAATGGAAACTTGTAAAAACGCTCCATTCCTTTGGACGAGGTTTTGTTTTATAATGATAAATAATATAATGATAAACATATTGACTGGGAATCATTTATTGTCTAGCTAATTTCGCTTGCGTATTACCTACCAAGTGAAGGTCGCTTTAACTGTACGCAATGCACCATTTGCCATCTCGTGGACTTTTTGCAATATATAATTTACCATGATAGCTCAGTGTGCCCGCTTATCGTTCGGCTTTCGAGGGTTCAAATCCTGGTGCCTGTACCAATGAAAAGTACTTGTTTGTCAGATCACAGAAATTGAGACGTGAGAAGCCCGTCTCCTGGGCTTTACGCAGTACATGCGTACGGGCTGCGCTTTAAGTGCATCTTCAATCCTCGTTTATATATTTTCAAGCGACTTCAAAAAAAAGGTGAGGTTCTCAATTCGACTGTATTATTTTTTATGCTTTTGCCATTATTTTGATGATTCTTTTTTTTTTTTTATTTGAAAGCTGGTGCTTCCCATGTGGGCCCATATTAATTTCATTTGTATTGGATATTGGGCTCTGGAGATACTTAGGGACCTCCTGAAAATCAATTATAAAAAAAAATCGGTTCACTCAGTCGAAAATTATGAGGTCATAAACATAAAAAAAAAAACAGTCGAATTGATTCCTATTTTGAAGTCGATTGATGAATAGAGAGCGAAATTTATTTGAAGTCTGTTTTGTTTTTCGTTACTAAAATATGGACTTGTTTTAGTATCAATGGGTTCTACTATTGATCGTTAAACATTATGATTTCTTTAAGATGCATGTTCACATAATATGTATTCCCTGATCGGAAAAATATTAAAAAATTACTACCCACTGCTACCTTAGAGTAGCAACAACGAAATCGAATGTGTCGCCCTCTGGTCAGCTTTTTTGTGATGACGCTATAAATACTGAGAAATATGTATGGATATAGTCTTCTAGCTCATCATCGTCATCACATTGTACTACGTATAACATCAATCTAAAGATTATTATTATTTATGTGTAAAGATATTGTATTTTCTTGAATGTACGCATAGGGAACCCTAAATAGTGTCTTGTTGTAAAACACGTTTCGTTACCTACTAGTAAGTTCGATCCGTTTTGAAATTTGTTTACGAAGCGACCTCTTTTATATCTGTTAAGTGGAAACTTCGATATGTTAATGTTGAAACTAATCGAAGACCAACGCATTTTTATTGGAACCGCAATCATTGTTGTTTAACGGGAAACTAATTTTAGTAGGGAATGATGTTTCTAGCTTGACGTTTACTTTGTAGTCGTTCGTAGTCTTAAGTATCTTCCGACTGTTTAGATGTTACGCAAAAGGGCCATCGTTTGTAATTGTCCAGTACAAAGAGGAGGCGTATTTGTTGAGCGTTGAACGGCGCCGGGGTGAAACCATTTCATTATTTGTCTGCAAGCGAACGAAATAAATATTTAGATGAAAATATGGTTTTTGTTACTTTTACTTAACCTTACGTATTATGTATTTTCTAATTAGAAGACAAATTACAGCGTACGCACATTATCGATTAACCTGTAACTTGGGATATACATAATGTCTTCAAGACACAACATAATTAACATCAAATAAACCTTACAAGTTGTCTTGTTAGCCATTTTCATTTAACGGAAAAAAAAACTAAAAGTAAAACTTTCGTAATTTATATCACGGGTATCCTGCAATGCCTCACAGTCACAATT